CATGTACATTTTACATGTACATGTACATTTTGGTCATGTCCTGACTCCCTGTTAACATCATCATCATTTGGGGAAAATAGTTTGGTCGTTCTGATGAGATGGTTGCATGACGAACATTAACTTAGACAGAATGTTCAACTTAGACAGAATGTTGTTCACATTGAAATGAACTTACGTGTATCCAAATAATAACTTTAAGGAATTTGTTTGAATTTCCTGCATGTCTTTTTTCTTTAGCAAAACTGATGTATTATGCTTTGCAAATATTACTGCTTGAAGACATTTTGGCACTTGTCTCTGTTGCCAATTACACCACTCACAGTGGCTCAAGCTATTTATGTTTTACATCTGGGAAAAATGTATTTTGAAGTTAAAGTTTAATCCAGTAATCGCATCACAAACATACTGAAAGCATCTACACATTATCATTCCTTGTAATATAATTTAAATTTCATAGCATAATCACATTCATTTCTTAAAAAATCCATGAACTTGCAAACGTTGCTTATGTAAAGAGATGGGAGCAAATTCTATGATCATTTTATCTCTGCCTATGTCATACAATTTTTTACTCAGCCGAGCAAAAATGTTGTCGCGTGCACCACGTCATTAAATGATAGCCAGGGGAAATCATTTCGCATTTTTTTCTGTTTTTGTTTTTGTAACTTGATGTCTTATGAAAGACGTCACTCGCCCATACATAATTTAAAATGCATCGAACTTTTAATACATTTTCTGCATCTGCATGCGTCATGCATATTATCGAAAAAAACGTTGCATTTTAACTTTTATGAATTTATGATGACGTACTTGCTATAGTTGGCGGGTATACAAATAGTTACGAATAACTAAATGTTGCCAAGGTAACACATGACAGATTTTGGCAGAGATGATTATGATGAATTCAACATAGAAGATGTCAAACAACAGACACATGAAACGTAGTAGAGTTTCGCATTTTTGGACGATAATTTAAGTAGGTTTAAACTCATTGCAAGTTTACAACCATCTATAAACATGTTACAATACGTTGTAATTGTATTGTAACCTGTAAGGAGATGTTGCATTGATGAGTTCAACTCAACTCAGTAGAATTTTTGCTTAATTCACCTTCACAGGCTGGTTAAGACCTAATGTTATGTGGTACTTATGTTTAGAAATACCTTAAAGTAGTTACAGTTTGTTAGGCAAAATCGTGATTTTAAAAATTTACAATCATCGCTTTCAACGTATTTTGAATTAATAATTGAACTGCTATAGTTTATTTTGAGTAAAACTCTACTGGGTTTATCACAGTGAAATTCTTCAGATTTTGTGTCACTCTTCATAACAGTGAAAGATGGCAGTACTTTTGAAAAACATTAAAATAATTATGCGTTATGAAGTTATGTCTGCCATATAGTAGCAATCGTATCTATGAAAGTGATTAAGGATTCCCATTAATCAGGCCATTTTAACTATAGACACTTTGTTTTCTTATCGTAAGGTGAATTTCTGTGATCAAATGCATGCATTTAATACTATTTGAGTGTTGACTCTCAACGGTAGCTGGTCTATAAATTTATTCCATCAACTAATCGGAAATCACATTGCTTATTGAAACAAATACATTTACATTTTGATTACACAATCCTAGAGAAATGATTACTAAAATATAGCAAAGTGACCTCTTATTAATATCGTTCAAAATACAATCATAGTTGTTTACATGTCTCGTTTGTGCAGGTTGTACATGAAACAGTGCCTGCATGCGATGTGGCACGTTGGATGATGTCACAATAGTTATTTCATCTACACGTCTAGTCTATTTCCATGAGATAAAGCTAGGAAATGATAGATATTAAAAGCACCTAATACTCTCGTTGGCAAATCACCAATTTCCTTGAGGGCTTTCGCCAAATAAAGAATTCTCAGAAACAGATAAAAATACAATTCTTTCAAAATATTCGTGTGAGGAGCCTTTACATTAGTTCCATATCATTATGTTTTTTATATCTTAGTGTGTCTCACATACATCTTACCGTATCGCTGGAATTGAGAAATGTCGACATTTCTCATATATTTAACTCCTGTAAATTTAAAAAGGATTTTTTCGAATCAATTTTATACTTTTAAATGCAGAAATTATTTACAGGATAACTAAAAATGGCCGAATGGCTGTTTACCTTTAATGATCGTTCGCAAGACGCACGTGCAGGAAAAAAGGCAGTAAACACTCCATAAAAAAACGGCCGAATGGCTGTTTACCTTTAATGATCGTTTGCAAGACGCACGTGCAGGAAAAAAAGGCAGTAAACACCCCACAAAAAAACCAAATTAACAGCAGTTTATCTTTTTTTTTCAAACATGATTCTACTTTCTGTCTTAGCTATATCAAATGTTCACTGGCTATCAAACGTTTCATAAAACAGTCAATTAAAATTAATATATACCAGGTGCTTTTGTACTCGTTAATATTTCAAGAGCTTTAGATAGTTGTTTTATGTCAGTATCTGGGTTATGCGTGTTGTTTTTAAAACTTGTTGTTGTGTCTCTTTACCTAGGCCTTCATTCTTGGAAACATGAACGTTGTGAACATAGGCGTACGTGAGAACAATTATTTTTGGGGGGGCAGTAAATATTTTCCCCAACTCTACCAACTCACAAAGAAGGTTCTGCAGTATTCTTGTCCGACTCACTAATGTTAAATATTTGCCCAACTTTTTAATCTTTAAACTTTCTTGTGTAAATTGAACTAATGGAAATCGTCATTCTTTATCGATTATCGACTTACAATGAATAAATAGATGAAAACAAAATAAAGGAGATTATTTCTGAGACCGTGGCTGATTTTAAAAGAAGTGGGTGGAATTTTCATACCTTACAATGCTGTTGTATGCGAACGAGTGGTGTAGCCAGGATTAACAGACAAGCGGGGGACTAAGGAAGGGTAGCCATGACCCGTTGGGTAAACAATAAATTTTGAATTCAATGTAAGTAAAACAGAATATGAGGGGGACATAGATTTTGCAATGAAAATCACGCAAATCCTTAATACACTACAGGCGTACATCAAAATATTATTTTAAATTCTGTTTTTGAAGTAAAAATAATTCAAAAACTTCTTTATAAAATTTTATATATAGTGTATAATTTCTAATTAGCAGCAATTTTAAAAAACACTTGAGAAAAACGACAATTTTTTTGAGAGCAAACATGTTTCGACATTATCAGAATGCCATCTTCAGTGCAGAATGATTAGTGTTAAGTAATATGATACATAATATGATATGAGTAAATTAATTACAATGAGTATTAAGTATTAATAACTATAACGTAAGTTCTAAAAATAAGTATTAAGAATTTATAACAAAAGTATTATTATAAAGTAAATATAGTGTTGTAGTGGTGAACTTGGATATTTAAATCTGGATTAGTTTTATTAATGTGTAGAGCTTCCTTGATTTTGAGTGAGAAAGTGGATTGATCAGTGTCGATGATTTTAAAACAGGAAGGTGAGAATTTGTTTTTACATGAAGGAGAGGCTTGAAGATGTTTGTAGATAGTAGAGTTTTTGTCTGTGTGAGTATGTTCCTTTATCCTGGTAGATAATTGGCGAGAAGTTTCACCAATATAACGGGAATTACATCCCGCACATGAAAATTGATAAACTACCATAGATTTGGAAAGTTCGGGAAGTGGGTCTTTAAACGAAAATAAAGATTTTATTTTGAAAGATGTGAAGATAAGTTTAACGTCAATGTCAGTGCAGTAGCGTTTAATGATTTGTGTGAGTTTGCGTTGTGTGTGTCGTGAGTAATCACCTATGTAAGGTAGTTTGAAATAACGTTTATTGTCAGGTTGTTGTATATCGTTAGTGTTAGTTGTGGAGTTAGATGAGTCAGTGCTTTTCTTGTTGTCCAAATAGTGTTGTATAGTGTTGTTGATGAAATGAAAAGGAAAAGAATTACGTTGGAGAGTGAATATTAGTTTCTTTAAATCACGTTGAAAGCCGATGTCTGTGTTGTTGAGTTTCCGTGCTCTGTCGGTCAGTGTTCGTATCAGCCCAATTTTGTAATTTAATGGTGTGAAACAAAAAAAGTTAGTCAGTAGTCCTGTATATGTTGGTTTGTGGTACGTAGAGGTCATACAGTTTTCATGTGATTTAGTTAGTAAGATGTCAAGAAAGGGTAACTGATTGTCTTGTTCGGTTTCGTATGTAAAGTTTATGCTTTGATGTTGTTTGTTGATGTATTCGTAAAAGAGTAATGCTTCGTCTTTGTTATGAAAAATACAAAAAAATGTCGTCAACGTATCTGCGGTAAAATAAAGGTTTGTTGTTGCTGTAGTTATTTAACCAGTTTCGTTCGTGAAAACCCATGAAAATGTTGGCTAGAATGGGTGCCAAGGGTGAGCCCATACTTACCCCGTCAATTTGGTCGTAGTACTTACCGTTAAATAAAAATGAGTCTCGGCCGTAGTGATGTTAAACAATAGTTTTAGTTCTGTTCTGCTCATTTTGAATGTAGGGTTGTTGGTAAAAATTAAATCAATAGCAATGTCTATGGTTTCGGTCAGTGGTATGTTGGTAAAAGGCTTTCAACGTCAAAAGAAATAAAGAATTTGTCATGTGGAGCGTTAGTGTTAAAAGATAAAAAATCATCGATAAAACTAAAAGAATCTTTAGCAGAATGGTCATTAGGTATTAGGGGTTGGAGTAAAGAGCTGAGGTATTTGGCTAATTTGTAGTTATACGAATTGATTGAAGAATTTATAGGTCTGATAGGAGGTATGTCATTGATATCGTTTAATTTATGAAGTTTAGGTAAACCATATAATCGAGCTGGCTGTGAACCTCTAGGGTACATTTCTTGAAATGACTTTTCGTCTATAGAGTTTTTTTTCTTTAAGTTACGTAGCAGTCGTTGTAACTTTGCTTCACGGGAAATTGTAGGATCATCTAGCGCATCTACTCTAAATTTAAGTTCCAGTTCTTTGCGGGCAGCGGTTGTGTTAGAAAAAATCACTTCAGTCTAGAGCACGAGAGATAAAAACATAAAAATTAAAATTAATTTTTGAATTCAAAACATAGAACGAAAATGTTATGATTCTTAAGACGAGGAATGAATCGTGGGGATAAAGGAAAACGTCCCTTCAAAGGAAGAGGTAAATGAGATTACTTTTGCGTTATTTGTTGGCGTAGATGCCTTGTGCCTTGCGCCATTACTATGCACAATTTGATTAAAATAATTTTATATAATAATATATGAATGCCAACAGGCTACGTTTGAAGCTTACTGCGCGGCGTTTGAATGAGTTTAGTGCTTAGGTTTTTCGCAAAGATGCAAACGTTTAAAAGTATATAATCATGGCCATCCAGAAAGTTTGATGATGCTTTGTGTAATGTAAATATTTTGATGTTCACTTACTTTATAAACAATGTATTTATAAAGAAAAAATAATGTTTATGATGTGAAATTTACATTGTACAACTACAAGTTGCAGGCTATCTACGTCATTGTGTCTGATATGTTGATTTATAAACATGGGCAAAGATTTCTTTAGAAATTAGTGCATATCTGCTAAAGCAAGGAGTTTCTTAAAAAGATATTCTCTAGACAGTACTATAAAGTTTGTTAAAAAGATATTCTCTAGACAGTACTATAAATATACAGGCTGTTGATATCTAAAGTAATAAACTCATGAACATATATGGTATTGTAAAGATAGAGTATATCTATACATTCATGGATCCAGGATGACTTTTGTAGAAGCGGTGGTCAGTTTTGATTGTTTTGCCTCCCTTCCTATGCCACTGTATGCATAACAAGAACATATTCCTGAACAATGCATAGAACTCTTGTTTTTCTATCAATAATTATACTAACTTGTAATTTATTCATATATAGAAATTATGCCATAGTACTTGATATTTAACTATGCATTTCTTCTGTTTTTCCTTCAAATGTTATTTTGTTTTACATGTGCAATGTTTCATTTGTGCTTGGTACTGTGCACCTCGAAGAGTGCCATTCATTCTGCATTCTTACTCCTATTTTGTCAAAATTTTAGCAAAATTATCGTCGGTTTCTTTGGGAATTTAATTTCATGCATTATTTTTCCTATAACTAAACATAAAAATATTTGCATTGAACTAAAAAATCTGTATGTCTTTGAGAGATTTGTATGAGAATTTTTGTGATAATCAATCAGTAAATTAGGCTGCATTATTGATTAGTTTAAATTTAAGACTGCCAAAAATGTTTCTAGGCCAATTAAAGTGTGATACGTATTTCACCAAGCATGTTGCTTGCAATTAAAAACTTTTCTTTTTTTACAGGTCATCCACCTCAAGGAGAGTTCATCGCTCTAGGTAAATAGTATTCCCTGCAATAAACCTGTGTTCAACTTAGTTAAGAATCAAAAATCTCTATAAAATTTCCGGTATTTTGATATGGTTTCTTATCACTGTGGCCCATTAGAGGGGGGGGGAGGTATAAAATGATGCATAAATTGTGTGATTAATACACATATTGGCACTTCCACTTTATTTGCAACTTCAAATTATTATTTTTATGTTTTTCGACTGAAGTTACCAATATTTTATTGACTGAAAGAGTTTTATGCTAAGCTGTTTTAAACGTCACCCAAGTTTCTATTGAAAAATGTCTGATCTCAAGAGTTTACATAGGTTCCTCCGATAAAAATGTTTGTTAAAATTCATACAGTTTTCTCCAATGGAAAACATCCGAAGTTAAAAAGTTTCTTAGTTTTCTACTTTGAAAGATGTTCGATATTAAAAAGTTTCTTAGTTTTCTACTTTGAAAGATGTCCGATATTAAAAAGTTTCTTAGGTTTCTACATTGAAAGATGTCCGATATTAAAAAGTTTCTTAGGTTTCTACATTGAAAGATGTCCGATATTAAAAGTTTCTTAGGTTTCTACATTGAAAGATGTCCGATATTAAAAGTTTCTTAGGTTTCTACATTGAAAGATGTCCGATATTAAAATGTTTCTTAGTTTCTACATTGAAAGATGTCCGATATTAAAAGTTTCTTAGGTTTCTACATTGAAAGATGTCCGATATTAAAATGTTTCTTAGTTTTCTACATTGAAAGATGTCCGATATTAAAATGTTTCTTAGGTTTCTACATTGAAAGATGTCCGATATTAAAAAGTTTCTTAGGTTTCTACATTGAAAGATGTCCGATATTAAAAAGTTTCTTAGGTTTCTACATTGAAAGATGTCCGATATTAAAATGTTTCTTAGGTTTCTATATTGAAAGATGCCCGATATTAAAATGTTTCTTAGTTTTCTACATTGAAAGATGTCCGATATTAAAAAGTTTCTTAGTTTTCTACATTGAAAAATGTCCGATATTAAAAAGTTTCTTAGTTTTCTACATTGAAAGATGTCCGATATGAAAAAGTTTCTTAGTTTTCTACGTTGAAAGATGTTCGATATTAAAAATTTTCTAAATTTTCTACATTGAAAGATAATCGATATTAAAAAGTCATCAAGGTTTCTCCCCCATAGAAAGTTTACGTTAAATGTCACAAAGATTTCCTACATTTTAAGTTGCTTTTTATGTTTCTAAGATTTTTATCGAAAAATTTAAATATATAAAAATTCGTATGAGAAAGAACTTTTCATGTTAATGTGGTCAGCGGAGTTTTAAGTATTTGTTCACATGTCACAGGAATAATTTACCTATGAAAGATGAAAATTTATCATTCATATCTTCAGGCTCAAAAGCACCTTCAAAGACCCAAGAGGTACCTGAACTAAAGCATCTTCCATCGCTAAAGCCTCTTTCCGGTTCATCATTGAAGAAGACAACGACGTCTTTGCCAGATCGCAAACGAGACTGTCCCAGTCCTCTGCAACCTTTGCGCATTGCCAAGCAACGCAAGACTTCATCACCACACTCACCAAATGTGTCAATAGATATAGAAAGCAGTTTGAAGACTTCATCGTCAAGTTTACCAGTTCCCAGCATTCCACCTATTGATGGTTAGAAAAAGATTTGTTTGAATAGTTTTTTCATTCACTTCTGTTCAGTTTTTCATTTGGAGGAATTATTAAAATCTGAGACCTTATATACTCCAGTCTAGTTTCTTCATCACGAGTGATCTGATATTGAAAATTGATTCTTACATACTCCAGTCTAGTATCTTCATCAGTACTGATCTGATGTTGAAACTTGAGTTTTTATATACTCCAGTCTAATGTCTTCATCAGGAGAGGTCTGATGTTGAAACTTTATTCCATATATATAGGTACTCCAGTCTAGTGTCTTTATCAGGAGTGACCTTATTTTGAACCATAAGTCCTTTTACGTAGTGCCATCATCAAGAATGATCTGATGTTAAAACTAGAGTAGTCTTAACTTACATACTTACATACTCCAATGTAGTGTCGTCATAGGGAGTAATTGAAACATATACATAGTATTTTCATATAGTTGTTTTGATCGACTTTTTTGCAGTATCTGCTGATGAATTAGAAAGCAAAGTTATGAAAGCTGACGAGAATGGAGATCGAACAAGAGTTGATGGCTATTTAACTGGAGGTCTGAAAGTTTTACGAATGAATCGAAGCAAACCAGACTTACCGATGTGCCTCAGTTTGTTCTGTCTTGTCAAACGTAGATCTCATTTGTTTCGTTCGCATCGTATCACTGAGGTACGTTCCCAGTCCCTACTCGTCCTCAGTCCTTTTGCTGTATGGTTTTTTATTCAATCTCTGCATGATGAACTTAGAACCTGATCAAATATTTTTTGTTTACGACCACTGAATGATATATACAGTACTTGGACGTTCAATAATCTTTGACTGGATGACAATTTCATAAAGTACAAAATAAAACACATTGCGAAAAAGGAAATCTTGTAAACTCAAATTTAAGATATAAAACAAGAAAATTTTTAATATTTCGGTTTGTTTTTCAAAACCATCCTTACCATGCTGTTTTATGATGGTTTTGAAATGAAACCGAAGTATTACACTTTAAATCGTCCTGTTTCATAACTTAAATCTTTAAATCGTCTTGTTTCATAACTTAAATGTTTAAATCGTCTTGTTTCATAACTTAAATCTTTAAATCGTCTTGTTTCATAACTTAAATCTTTAAATCGTCTTGTTTCATAACTTAAATCTTTAAATCGTCTTGTTTCATAACTTAAATCTTTAAATCGTCTTGTTTCATAACTTAAATCTTTAAATCGTCTTGTTTCATAACTTAAATCTTTAAATCGTCTTGTTTCATAACTTAAATCTTTAAATCGTCTTGTTTCATAACTTAAATCTTTAAATCGTCTTGTTTCATAACTTAAATCTTTAAATCGTCTTGTTTCATAACTTAAATGTTTAAATCGTCTTGTTTCATAACTTAAATGTTTAAATCGTCTTGTTTCATAACTTAAATCTTTAAATCGTCTTGTTTCAGAACTTAAATCTTTAATTCGTCTTGTTTCATAAGTTAAATCTTTAAATCGTCTTGTTTCATAAGTTAAATCTTTAAATCGTCTTGTTTCATAAGTTAAATCTTTAAATCGTCTTGTTTCATAACTTAAATTTGAAGATGATGTCCTTTTTCGGATTGTGTTTTATTTTATATTTTATGGACGTTCAACATTAACGCAATATGTAAAAATTATAAAAGTTATTTCCACTCAGGATGCCTCTTACTTAAATTACATTGAGTAATTTAAGTAAGAGGCATCCTGAGTGGATATATCGCCAGTACAACCAAATGACCTAAGTTTCAAGTTTTACTTGGTGGTAGAGGCGAACGCAAACCTTGACTACCCACTTGCCGTTGAGATTTGCCTTTTTCGAATTTTAGTTCGGTTTGCCTGTTCTGAATTTAATTCGGTGTTTTTGCATTTGTATTTTACAATTCTCAGTGTCCTGAGATAAATTTCATGTTTTCTTAAAAGTTTTTCAATAAAATTGGCATATATACTCACATAAATATATAATTGCGCCATAAAACAATGGTGAATCCAGAGTACGTCAAAATATATTACTGCAGCACACTTTCGCGTATATTTACATTTCTAAGCACCTTACAGGGTAATCTATTGGTAAAATTATATTCTTTAGAAATTAAAAACCAATAGTGTTTTTCTGAAAGGAATTTGAATTTGAAATTAAGGAGCTATAATTTATTTTGACGTACACTGAAGCCGCCACTGCCATAAACTACAGCAAGAAGGGTCTCCTGTCGTTAAAACCTGAACTGCAAACCGCGACGTTAACTACAAAACCGTGATCACGTGACTTTTTATGGTTTGCCGCCGTTAACACCAAACTAAAAGTCTCTATTAACAATTTATACACTAAACTACAGACAATTAAATGGAGATGATATATACAAACTAAAAATAGTAGTGAACTTGCTTATTAAGTTGAAACGAAAGTTTGTGTATGGCTTCTTTAATTTTAAGAGTAGAAAAATACCTGGGAGAATTTTAAAGAAGGACTTGGTATACTGTAATTTGCTGTTTGGAGTCGTTGCACGTAGTTTTGATTTTCAGTTTGTGATTTGTATTGTGATTTTTTACTTAAACATAGTTCTTGCTACGTCATGATAACACGTGACTATAAGAAAATGTAAGTTAGGTCGATTTCTTACAAAGCCATTGGTCGTTCATGTTTGTTTAGTGACCTGGCATGCATATCTCATGGACCATAGGATTTCAATCAGTCGTTTCTGAATACAAATGCCATTAAACTCTTTTCCATTTTTTTTTTAGTTTTTGACGAGTCTGCTGAAGAGGGATTCTTCTGTGACTTTAAAGGGTGCTCGCCCCAGTCCTGCAGTCCCTATTATCGCCTGTAATATTTTGCTGTGTGCCTTTCAAGACGAGCAAAATTGGCCAGAAAGTTTTATTAAGGTGTTCTGAGAAGCTATCATTTAAGTTTTCCTCATTTAACTGTTCTCGTTTTCATTACTACTTAAACAGACACACGTTATCTTATTTCTTATATGTTTTAGATAGTGTAAAGACTGTTCTCATTCTCTGTTGTTCATTCATCACTACCTACACTGACACACGTTATCTTATTTCTTATATATTTTAGTTAGTTTAAAGACTGTTCTCGTTCTCTGTTGTTCATTCATCACTACCTACACTGACACACGTTATCTTATTTCTTATATATTTGAGTTAGTTTAAAGACTGTTCTCGTTCTCTATTGTTCATTCATCACTACATACACTGACACACGTTATTTTATTTCATATATTGTAGCTAGTGTAAAGACTGTTCTTGTTCTCTGTTGTTCATTCATCACTATCTACACTGAGACACGTTATCTTATTTCTTATATTCAACTTTAGGTGTACGTTGAAGATTCGTTAGGTGATCGTATTTGGGTGGAAAACGAGCGCTGTCGTTTATTTGTTGAAAATCTTCTTACGGCTTTCGAAACAAAACTCCCACCTCGTACTGTCGTTGGACAAACTGCAACCGAGGGAAACAAAGATTCAACTAATGAAGATAAGAGTTAGTAATGACTTTGTTTCTATGCTTTTATCGGCTTCTCATATCATTTTGACCAATTTTTATTTTCATGATCTCCGTGTATAAAGTGATTAAGCGTTTAAGAGCTCAGAGCGCTTTTATAGGCTTCGTTGTTTGATGTCCCGGATGAGTAGAGCTCACGGGATGTTTCCAAGTAAAATAAACCTATTGGAGCTAGAGAGCAAGGAATGTATCGTAGGTTGATATAAAGCCAAGTGGGGTTGTAGAGCAAGGAATTTATCGTAGGTTGATATAAAGCCAAGTGGGGTTGTAGAGCAAGGAATTTATCGTAGGTTGATATAAAGCCAAGTGGGGTTGTAGAGCAAGGAATTTATCGTAGGCTGATATAAAGCCAAGTGGGGTTGTAGAGCAAGGAATTTATCGTAGGTTGATATAAAGCCAAGTGGGGTTGTAGAGCAAGGAATTTATCGTAGGTTGATATAAAGCCAAGTGGGGTTGTAGAGCAAGGAATTTATCGTAGGTTGATATAAAGCCAAGTGGGGTTGTAGAGCAAGGAATTTATCGTAGGTTGATATAAAGCCAAGTGGGGTTGTAGAGCAAGGAATTTATCGTAGGTTGATATAAAGCCAAGTGGGGTTGTAGAGCAAGGAATTTATCGTAGGTTGATATAAAGCCAAGTGGGGTTGTAGAGCAAGGAATTTATCGTAGGTTGATATAAAGCCAAGTGGGGTTGTAGAGCAAGGAATTTATCGTAGGCTGATATAAAGCCAAGTGGGGTTGTAGAGCAAGGAATTTATCGTAGGTTGATATAAAGCCAAGTGGGGTTGTAGAGCAAGGAATGTATCGTAGGTTGATATAAAGCCAAGTGGGGTTGTAGAGCAAGGAATTTATCGTAGGCTGATATAAAGCCAAGTGGGGTTGTAGAGCAAGGAATTTATCGTAGGTTGATATAAAGCCAAGTGGGGTTGTAGAGCAAGGAATGTATCGTAGGTTGATATAAAGCCAAGTGGGGTTGTAGAGCAAGGAATTTATCGTAGGTTGATATAAAGCCAAGTAGGGTTGTAGTAATATAAATCTGATATAAAAACCGGGGGGTTTGTGTTAAGGTGTTTAGAAAACTAAGGGGGTGTTGTCTTAAGCCTATATAGCTTATGTAGAAGTATTTTCGAGGTGAAATGAAAACAAAGAAAAGGTCTTTTACGTTTCACTGGACTATATGTACATGTATGTTTGCGTATGTACATTTATATATAGTTCAGTGGGTTATCTTCATTCACTAATGTGTCGTTTATTTTTATTCAACAATCCAGTATCGTCATCAATTACATCGCCAAAGTTCAGTAAGATTGACGACGAAGATGTGTTTATGAACGTTGTGCAATGTAAGCAAACGATTCCATCTGAAGAAGATAAAGTTTCTTCAAGGTAAAGATATATTGCATTCAATCTTGAAGTTCTTTTTTACATTTGTACCATATCTGCTTTAATTCAAAGCAGATAGTTTGTGAAAAATAATCAGTATTTTGCCTTAAAGCATGTTCATGTTTTTTATTCCTCCACTACAATAATTCACCCAACAATTAATCAAGCCAAAATTATTTATTATACACTTCTTGTTGACTTTATTGTTGTTCTGTTTGATGTATTATATCGTACAATTATATCGTACATAAAATTTAAAATAGTGAAGATTTTTTACTCTAAAGAGTCCGATATTCTCGCAAAATTAGTATTACCGATTAGTTGATATCATTATTGACAAATGGAGCCTTAGCTGCTTCGCAAACGTCGGTATTTTACACAATAAAGGAGCTCGTTCTGTTGTTTACAACAAAAACTAAATTTTGACGAAGCGACAACGACAACAAACTTCCTCTTGCCATTCCCCTGTGGTGATAAATTTAAATAAAGCCTCGAAAAGCTCATTTGCCATGGTGAATTGCCGAAATTCCCAAGAGTTATGAAACCAATGAACCCAAGAAACTCGAGAGAATATAAAGAAAACCCAGAGAGAACCAAGAAAAGGTTTCTGATTTTCTTGAGTTTTCAGAACTCTTGACAACTCAATAATTTTTGGCAATTCGCCATGGCTATAGCGCTTTTCAAGACATGATGAATTACATTTCAATAATAATTTTTAGGGTTTTAGGGGATGCATCCTTCTGTCTTCTACACGTATGAATACGAGAAACAAGACTTTTCTTCTATTTATTTATCTTCTTTTCTTGTATAGATATGAATCAGCAATCGCCAGAGAAAATGTTCATTCCTACATCGTCGATCTTCTAAATTATCAACTAAGTCGTCGACAGTTGGTAGATCACACGACACGAAATCTTTTGCGTCTTATGTCCGCCGCCTGCGGTATTAGCGACGTGCGGTTGCTTGCTTCACAAAGATTGGAGACTTGGCTACAAAATCCTAAGGTAACGGTTTGTAATTTTTTGTGCCGTCTTCGTAAAGATTGGAGATTATTAAACATTAAAGACTTTAAAACCCTGGTCATGCCGAAGTATCTAATTCAAAATCAACTAAACAAAATTAAAATTAAATAAAACGAAAAAGCATGGAAATCTTCTTTTGACAACAAGACGTGGAGTGTAAAGCGAAGTTCCGGAGTTAGGAAAATTTCTCTGGATAGGAGAGATGGTCAGATGGTTTATTTAGCAAATTTCTAGGAGTTTTGGAAACTTCTTTGGGTAGAAGAGGTGTTGTGTATAGCGATGAGCAAGTTCGGCAAACTTCTCCGGGCAAGAGAGGGGTGTTTAGAAGAATTTTAGAAGCGTAGGTAATTCTCTGGTGATCTGTTTATAAAAACTCTCTGACCTCAAAAATCTTCTCTGCACAAGAAAGGTGAAATGCGTGTATACAATTTTCGAAACTAAATGAAAGCATTTTGTTGAGCTCATGATGGTGGTAGTGAATATATCACACTATTAAACTAATACAGTTAAAGTTTATTAAAAGTTCACCATGGCGTTACATGTGCTCGACACGACTCAACTAGACTGACTGATATATAATAGCATGCAATAAAAGTTATATAAAAATGTTCACGTGTCAATAATGAGGTTAACTTAAGGAAATTTCAAATTACCATGTTTAACTTAACCCATTTTATATTTGGTCATCACATCTAGAGCATTTTTATCGTATTTCTTGTCGTCCATCACTTCTCGACCAATAACACACAACTATTTTAGCTCTGTTTTCCTTCTGCAGCTCAATCGCCCTGCCAATGAACTGTTAATGTCCGTCGCTCTAAACTGCCATACGCATTCTTTGGATGACATAGAAGTAATCAGTAACATAATAAAAATGCGACTGAAGACGAAACAACTGGCAGCACACTATATCACGTGTATCAGGTATGTTAAGATAAGAAAACTCTATCAACTCTTGTCAGCGGCTACATCTCTTGTTTATGTGAAACGTCATATAACTGCATGAAATTTTTGAGAACATAAAAAGATTATTGACATGTCTATTACATGGTGGCACAATCCAAGTATGGGAAATGGTAGAATTTGATGCCGCACCATAATGAACAGTCCAAATGAAATGAGAAATTTTCTATAAAAATTAATGTTTTCATTTGTGGCCATAAGTTCTTGATATGAATTCATAGTGAAGATTCGAAAGATCTGCACACGGACCATAGATCGTCTGTGACAATATTCAAATAATCATTGTATAAGACAAGCCTCTGCCAAGCAACTTTGATTTATTTGTCAGTTGTCAGCGGTTGCATCTCAAGTAAGCGCGAAACATATATCTACGCAATATAACTGTTTAATTGTTTATTTTATACGGTAAAGAGTGCTTGTAGAACAGCACGAAGAAAATCTTGGCACGCTGATCAAACATGTCATCTATAACGAACTTTCACAAACAAGAAATCCAAACAACATGTCAATGTTTGCTGCTCTCTTTCAATTTGCCCCCGACAAAGCTGCAAAGGTATTTTCTACAGTTTTTTTCCTTCAAGTTTCCTCACTACATCTTATATTTGCCTTATTGAGGCGTGGTTAACCTTCCACGACAAAGCTACGAAAGTATTTTCTACAATTTTTGCCTTAAAGTTTTCTCACTACATCGTATATTTGCGATGAACTCTATTAAAGACTGGAACGATAACTCCAATACAAAAGCCATATAGAGTTATAGAGTTCACTGCTACGACATAGCGGTAAAGGTATTTTCAATAGTTGTAACTGAAGGTTACCTTACCACATGGTAACTTTGCTTGATTGAGGCGTGGTTACCTTACCACATGATAACTTTGCTTGATTGAGGCGTGGTTACCTTACCACATGGTAACTTTGCTTAATTGAGGCGTGGTTACCTTACTACATGGTAACTTTGCTTGGTTGAGGCGTGGTTATCTTACCACATTGTAACTTTGCTTGATTGAGGCGAGGTTACCTTACTGCATGGTATCTTTGCTTGATTGAAGCGTGGTTACCTTACCACATGCTAACTTTGCTTGATTGAGGCGTGGTTACCTTACCACGACAAAACTACAAAGTTCGTTTTTCTAGTCGTTTCCGCATTGAACTAGCTAAAGAGAGCAGAAAATAGTTTTATTGAAAAACATTCTTACAAGTAATTGGATGCTCTCCTCGTGATATTCAAAACAATATCAAATGGGAGTTATTGGAGAATTAAAATAAATGCGTAAAATTTGTTTAAGGCTGATGAAAATTACAAGGAAAAAGGCAGTGTTTTGTCGAAACTTTGCACTCTCCTTAGATACCCATTCTATCTTTCTTGACGTGTTTTGTTTTACTTTTAGGAACTTGCGGGTGTTTTTCAAGAACTTTTGACCCAAAGGTGACGCATTACAAATATCGTAATTTTTGAATCATTGTTGTTCAATGATTTAGAGCCCAATCCCCTAGATGTCTAATTACCGTGTCAAGGTAAGGCAAGGACGCCATCTTGAAAGGTGGCAAAAAGCGAAACTCAAAATGAAAAATAAGCTAAAATAATGTTTAAAAACCCAATCCTATCATACATTTAAAAAAATTAAACCTGGACTATCAACCTTGCTACTGTATATAAAGTCAGGAAAAGCAGACATTAGTCCTAAATATAGTCAGTTTTGCCACCTTTCAAGATGGCCTGCTTGCCTCATGCATTACGATACAATTTCAGCGGAGTGAGATATCTAGTAGACTGGGTTCTAAGTCATTGTTGTTGCTTTACTCCCGTCTCTAAACGTTGAGGTGCATTTTAGGGAGGATTATTTACGTGCCATTCGTGCACTTTTACGTGAAATTGTGCGTTCTTTACGTCATGACTTAAATTTTGTTGCATTATGTCGTGGTCTGATGACTGAACGAAATGACGTCATCTTTCAAGACCTCGCCACTCCTATTAAGGTGGGTTTTCATCTCGGAAAGATTGGTTTTTGTTTCAACAGTTTCATGTTAAGTCAGCCATACATTATCGGTACATTTCTGGTTATATAGGAAAGAATGTTTGCTTCCTTGACGGACATCATTAGTGCAACAACCCTTCTCAGTATAACTCCGACTGTTCGCGATGCCATTATGGCTTTTAAGCTTGGGGACACAAGAGGTGATTTCTGTATTTTTTATAGTTAAGTGACCAGGAATGGTCTGGAGTGACTAGGAGTGGTCTGGAGAGACTAGGAGTAGTCTGGAGTGATTAAGAGTGGTCTAGAGTGACCAAGAGTGGTCGGGAGTGACCAAAAGTGGTCTGTAGTGACCAAGAGTGGTCTGGAGTGACAATGAGTGGTCTGGAGTGACCATGAGTAGTCTGGAGTTGCCAGGAGTGGTTTAGAGTGACGAAAAGTGGTTTAGAGTGACCATGAGTGGTCTGGAGTGACCATGAGTAGTCCGGAGTTACCAAGAGTGGTCTGGAGTGACCATGTGTGGTCTGAAGTGACCATGAGTGGTCTGGAGTGACCATGAGTGGTCTGGAGTGACTATGAGTGGTCTGGAGTGACCATGTGTGGTCTGGAGTGACCAAGAGTGGTCTGGAGTGACCATGAGTGGTCTAGAGTGACCATGTGTCGTCTGGTTGACCAAGAGTGGTCTGGATTTGTATGGAGTGACCAGCAGTGACAAGAAGTGGAGGGACCTGGAGTGATTGAGTGATCCAATGTTGAAAATTGAGTGCTTCTATACTCCCGTCTAGTGTCTTCATAGGAGTGATCTGATGTTGATTCTTGAGTCATTTTGAACATATTGTTTTCTATATTTACATTGCAGACATTAAAGTTATTCAAGAGTTCCAGAAAAATGTCGCATTGATACAAGAAGAGGTGACAAGTTGGTTTTATAAAACTGTTCCTCATATGTTTCCCATCTCGGCTTCTAACTTTTCACAAAGGTAAAAATTTCATATTTTGCCACCAGAATAATGTATTGTAAACGAATGTAGCATCAATGGAGCATTTTTCGGCTTTGTACCTGCTAAAATAAGCCAGAATTAGCTTGTGGTGAAAGTTTGAAGCAAGCATTTGTTTGTGGTGATAGCAAGCATTTGTTTGTGGTGATAGCAAGTATTTGTTTGTGGTGATGGCCAGCATTTGTTTGTGGTGATAGCAAGCATTTGTTTGTGGTGCTAGCAAGTATTTGTTTGTGGTGATAGCAAGAATTGTTTGTGGTGATAGCAAGCATCAGTTTGTGGTGATGATAGCAAGCATTTGTTTGTGGTGATAGCAAGCATTTGTTTGTGGTGATAGCAAGCATTTGTTTGTGGTGATAGGAAGCATTTGTTTGTGGTGATAGCAAGCATTTGTTTGTGGTGATAGCAAGCATTTGTTTGTGGTGATAGCAAGCATTTGTTTGTGGTGATAGCAAGCATTTGTTTGTGGTGATAGCAAGCATTTGTTTGTGGTGAAGCAAGCATTTGTTTGTGGTGATAGCAAGCATTTGTTTGTGGTGATAGCAAGCATTTGTTTGCAGTACGAGGTATGATTTTATGTTTTTATATCTTATCACGTGTAGCTTAAGCAAAGTGTTTTTCATGGAACCGCCAGAATCGTATACTGGGAAGGACTCTTGGCCATCGGAATCCGAAAGAACGTATGTTGTAGGATTTATTTTTTATTAGCTGGGGTGAATTAGGGTGAATTATGAGCAAACGTGATCATATTTAATGTTGTTTTCCCGACACCATCCATCGAATTTTTGTTTTTGGAATATTTTGTGAAAATTTTTTGATTCATAAAAGGCTGTTTACATAGCAGTTTAGCAGGAATGATTTTACTTTAGTTTGAAATGAAGTTCGGATGGTGTTTTGGTGAAATCTTCTTCTTGTTTTTCATTTGCCAGTTTTACGTTGGTGGTCTGCGTAGCTCAAACCTTGATTGGTTGAAAACTTTCACAGTGATTAAAGACTTTGTTTGAATGTGTTTAAAACAGTTCGAAACTATGAACTATGAGTTTTGAATAATATACTCTTTTATACTATTTAATACACTATTAAGCACACTAATCTATATAAATTTGCCAAAACTGCCAAATATGACTCCGACCGAGGCACCTAATTTTAAAGGGAATACATTTCTCAACAAAGTGAATAGCTTTAACGCGGGAGTATCGTTACATATTTGTAGATGTAGATCGTCCAGGTTGGTATAGTCCTGAGAAGGTCTGTTTGTATTGATGTTGACTGATGTTACGACAACCTTAGCGGTAGTCATCTTCAGAGAGAAGGATGTTGAAGCGTCATTCATTATAAAAGACTGACCGTGCGTGACCTGGACGAAGTAATTGGTGATGTAATTTAGTTTTGTTATCAATTTCATAGTTTCCTGCTATCGGTCGTCACTAACATACCTGTCATGGATGATACATTGACTCGTGTTTCTGTGATTGGTCTCTCTCCTGAACTGCCTCTCGATGCTCAAAAAGCGTTAAAGTTTATCGACATCTTGGTTCAGCGAGCAGCTGTTGTAAAAAGCGGTTAGTTTCGTCTTCTGACAATCTTGGATATGTTTACATGATAGCCAAAACAACATGATGTATTTTTAATACTTATATTCACTAATATATACTTATATGCCTAAACATATTCATATACTTTTATATACTTTTACATACCTATGTATACTCTTATATACCTATATATTCTAAAAACTTATATATACTTTCATATACTTATACATACACCAATATATATATCTTTGTATATTTTACACTATTTTATGCATATGTTGTATGTGTTTTTAATTTAGGTATCAACTCAATGGAAATAAATCGACTGAGATTTATTGATGCTATACTTGATCTTTGTGCCTATCATCATCCACCCAACATACTGCTTCCATCCGGGTAAGGTTAAATGCTTGAAAGTGCCCCTGTCAGCAAAAAATTTTATTAGCGATATCAAAACTTTATGTAGTATCTAACGTATCGGTGGAAAAAAGTTTTCAATTTGGTAAAATTGTCTTCTTGTTATGGAGGTTTGAAGTTGCCTTTCAATGGACCTTGTCCGTCGTGGTCGTTGAAAATCGTCCCTGATACGTTGAAAATCACACCTAAGTTTAATATTGCAATTAAAATTTTTTTGCTGAAAGCGGTGCTTTAAATACTGAGGTTTCAGAGTGGGATTCGTTAACTTTGCTCGTTATCATCCCTCGAACACACTTCTAACAGCGGGGTGCGTCCAGTTCTATTAAATATCAGAGTGTCAAACTGAGATTGAAGCACTTTTTGCAATTCAAAGTGAAATGCTTTCTTCAGATATGAACCACCTTTATTGGCTATTGGCAGTCTATACTGGACGGCTTGGATCATTATACTGTTGGTTGCTGCCTTTAATCCTACTAACATTGGTAGGTGACTGTAAGATATATGTTTAAAATATGCGAAAATTTAGTTGAAGTAAAATCTCATAAGTTACGTTATCCAGAGAGGTTATTGAAGACTGGGAACAAGGCCGTCCCTGGAATGTTAATTGTAGGGTTGGTTGTATTTATTTATATATTCAATTGCGCCCGACTGATTTCTTTTGAACATAAATTCTATAAACCTGTTTCTCTCAGCTTCTCCAAAACTTGAAGGTCCATCGGTAAGCTGCGTTCAAAAGAAATCGGTCGGGCACAACTTAATATATTAATACCCCCCCGTCCAATTAATGTTATAGGTAACGCCCTGATTAGCAATGTAACTTTGTTCCAATTGTTTAGGTGAGATTTTGTGGCAAAGATATCCAACTTTAAAATGCTTGGTGGAAATGGCGATGACGAAGTAAGATTGTGTAGAAAGTTGATTTCCATATGGAGGGTTTTCATGTGGAATTATGATTTAAATGTTTTTTTATTCAGTAATTTCGTTTTTCCTCCGCCAACAATGATTGAAAATCAAGATCATTTGGAAGAATTGCATAGACGAGAAACGCAGGTAATTTCTGTATTTTATTAAATGGTTTTTATCTGAAAAGTTTCCTCTGCCACATTTTCCCTTCTCCAACAAATGTATAATTCTATCTTATATCACTAGTTACTCTTAGATGTACTCCTCTCCAATAACTGTCACTCTATCTATTGTTACTAGTTACCCCTAGGTGTACTCCTTTCCAATAACTGTCACTCTATCTATTGTTACTAGTTACCCCTAGGTGTACTCCTTTCCAATAACTGTCACTCTATCTATTGTTACTAGTTACCCCTAGATATACTCCTTTCCAATAACTGTCACTCTATCTATTGTTACTAGTTACCCCTAGGTGTACTCCTTTCCAATAACTGTCACTCTATCTATTGTTACTAGTTACCCCTAGGTGTACTCCTTTCCAATAACTGTCACTCTATCTATTGTTACTAGTTACCCCTAGGTGTACTCCTTTCCAATAACTATAACTATGTCTGAGGTTACTAGTTACCCCTATGTGTGCACCTCGCCAATAACTATAACTATGTCTGAGGTTATTAGTTACCCCTATGTGTGCACCTCGCCAAGAATAACTCTATCCAATCTCCCTAGTTTGCTTTAAACCCCGTTCACACGATCCGATTTGTCGGATTCGATTTTGTCGGATCCTAAACAACGGATCATGCGTGAACGCATATAAAGTGAGCCTCCGACAATCGGATCCGTCAATCTAAAAAGTCGGATGGAAATGGAACTTGCTCTATTTTCATCCGACAAGATCAAAGGAAGCCGATAAGCCCCGGATTCTCACTCTAAATACTTTCCAAATTTGATTAGTGTAAAAAAAGATTTGAAAAACACGTGGAAACAAGAACAAAAACGCGCAAAATATATCGGTAATTGTACTGGCTAACATAAATGGCTTCTACCACGATTATAAATATCGAAACGAATATAAATATCAACAAAATAATCGGACCGTCTGAACAAGAAACCGATATTCGGAACCGAAGCAAACGGATCCGACAAATGGGATCGTGTGAAGGGTTTATTTTAGGTTTACACTTCTTCTTCTCACATAAAATATTTCAATTTAGATTGCTGCGGCAGAGAAAGACGATATACTTTTGTTTGAAACACATCTTGCTGCCGCTTCATCTGGCAAAACAATAACGGAGGAGTCCAGTTTGCTTCTAAGACAGCTCATATCGTTGGCACCTGAGTGAGTTTTCGTTGTTCTTTCATTTAAAGTTTGTCCTTTATGTTTTTGTTCAAGTTGTTTACTTTTGTTGAGATGTAGATTTGACACCTGAGTGAGTTTTCGTTGTTCTCTCATTTAAAGATTGTTCTTTATGTTTTTGTGCAAGTTGTTTACTTTTGTTGAGATGTAGATGGGTTTATCTTCTAACGATGGAGTGTCAAAACTTGTAGAAACCAAATTATGTCAACTGTCAGCTCTAAATTGTTTTTTCAGCGTGGGAAATTTTATTTGTTTTTTCATCAGATCGAACAGAGATTGTCTCTATTTTATAAACGCAGTAGAAAATAAAAACTTTGCTTCTCAAATGTTGTTCCTAAAATCCACGAAGGACGATGTAAACTGCGTAGTGTGCTGAATATATCACACAGCTTATATTTTATAATATAACAGTAATAAAACGCGCGCGATAGTTGGTCTACAGCTGAGTTTGCATTGGCCTGTGTGAATCTGACCTCAATCAATTAAATCAATCGTGAATACATGCAAGAGGAAAAATTAAAACATTTGTTGTAAATTTATCTGGTTTGCACTATTGTCACCTTAAAAAAGAAATAAAACATATGTTTTTGTTTTGACACTCGGCCACAGGTCTCGGACAGAGCAATGACGAGCTCTCGAGTTCTCCCGAAGGTCTTCTTGGTTTTTCACAGGCCTCTGTAAACACACTGAACATCTTGAAAACCGTGCATGAATGATCGCTTATTGATCTTGAGAAACCTACGTACCAGATTTTAATATCATTTACATCGAAGTTGTGGATTTTTATTGTATACTTCTTGATTTTTCTCCACGTACTTTATTTATTTTTCTCCACATTATTTATTTTTCTCCACATACTTTCTTTATTTTTCTCCACATTATTTATTTTTACGTACTTTTTTTATTTTCCACATACTTTATTTATTTTTCTCCACATACTTTATTTATTTTTCCATTACTTTATTTATTTTTCTCCACGTACTTTATTTATTTTTCTCCATACTTTATTTATTTTTCTCCACGTACTTTATTTATTTTTCTCCACGTACTTGTTTATTTTTCTCCACGTACTTTATTTATTTTTCTCCACATACTTTATTTATTTTTCTCCACGTACTTTATTTATTTTTCTCCACGTAAAATCGTGTGGTAATATAACATAACCATTTTAATACTTTAGAGGTCCCGTGCGAAAACCACCACAGTACATATTGGATCAACTCAAGAGGTTGAATGCTACTGTCGGCATTGGGAAAAGATTTTGTTGCTGCCGTTCTCCGGATTTTCTTTTGGAAATCATTCAACGACAGGTTGTGTTTAGCCATTGTAACATTGTTGATTGACCTAGCCTTCAGGTCAGTGACCTAGCCTTTAGGTCAGTGACCTAGCCTTTAGGTCAGTGACCTAGCCTTCAAGTTAGTGACCTAGCCTTCAGGTCACCCGAGTAACAGGTCACTGACAATAGCTCAGTTAGTTGAGGGATCGCCCATTTTATCATTGTCGTTTGACCTAGCCTGCACTCAGGTCACTAATATAATGACAACTCATTTGTTCGTTGTTTCTTTTCGGGGGTTGATTAAATTAAGCAAGCTGTGGAGTGAAAAAAACCGTCTTTGAATAATTTTGAGATGATTTTAAAGACTCACTCAGTGTGTGTGAGTGTTCTTTAAGAACTGAATCGAAAATATATGAGGACCGTCTAACCAATCGATTGCAGTTGTTGTTCTTTTATCGAGAAATGAGTTGCGAGTAGTTTTCCAATCTCATGGAAAACTTTGCTGCACTGAAATACGTGAGCTGATTCATTTCTCTTTATAGGGTGTACTAAAAAAGTAGACTAGTTTTAAACGGCTCAATGAAAACTTGAATTTTCAGGCGTTGAGTTGATGTGCCAAGATTTAAGTCAAACGCACGAAATTTCAACAACATGTATAGCGCAGTTGGCATCTTTGTACATGGAATGTATTTTACAATTGTAAATTGCAAAGCAAGCCTGCAAATCTGAACAATTTACATTGCAATACTTTTTTCTTCATTTTTGAATTTTTCGCACCAAAACAATATATCAGCATCAAAGTTTTTATCGGAAAAATGCTTTATAAACATCTGCCGTTTCATCCCCAAACTCTTACACGTGCCATACAAATTATATTATTATCGTTTTTGCCTCTTTCTATGTATTTCTGTAAAACGTTTTATTGATTTATAAACATTTTTTGCCTTTTCATTCTCCCCAAACTTTTACACGTGCCATACAAATTATATTATTATCGTTTTAGCTCTTTCAATGTATTTTTATACAACGTATTTTTATAAATGGTGTTTTCTTTCTTTAGAGCGCGGCAAAAAGTCGTCCATGGTTGGCTGATCTCGTTCTGTCAAGTCAAGAGTCGTTAGATGTGTTGCCAGTTCAGTGTTTGTGCGAGTTTCTGCTGCAGACGAGAGAAGATGGTGACTCCGCCGAGGAAAGAAACGAAAAATATCATGTAAGTAAAGAGTGGCTTCTGTGGATACCGCACAAGGAAACTAACTTTATTCTTACTAAATAGCCATTTCAATTCTATAGCATGTTCTTCCTGTTGATTTAGTAAGGATAATTTCTTGTTGATCTTGTGTTTCTACGCGAGTAAACTCTAAACAATGTAACTTTAAGTAAGGATAATTTCTTATTGATCTTGTGTTTCTACGCGAGTAAACTCTAAACAATGTAACTTTAAGTAAGGATAATTTCTTGTTGATCTTGTGTTTCTACGCGAGTAAACTCTAAACAATGTAACTTTAAGTAAGGATAATTTCTTATTGATCTTGTGTTTTACGCGAGTAAACTATAAACAATGTAACTTTAAGTAAGGATAATTTCTTATTGATCTTGTGTTTTACGCGAGTAAACTCTAAACAATGTAACTTTAAGTAAGGATAATTTCTTGTTGATCTTGTGTTTCTACGCGAGTAAACTCTAAACAATGTAACTTTAAGTAAGGATAATTTCTTATTGATCTTGTGTTTTTACGCGAGTAAACTATAAACAATGTAACTTTAAGTAAGGATAATTTCTTGTTGATCTTGTGTTTTTACGCGAGTAAACTCTAAACAATGTAACTTTAAGTAAGGATAATTTCTTGTTGATCTTGTGTTTTACGCGAGTAAACTCTAAACAATGTAACTTTAAGTAAGGATAATTTCTTGTTGATCTTGTGTTTCTACGCGAGTAAACCCTAAACAATGTAACTTTAAGTAAGGATAATTTCTTATTGATCTTGTGTTTTTACGCGAGTAAACTCTAAACAACGTAACTTTAAGTAAGGATAATTTCTTGTTGATCTTGTGTTTCTACGCGAGTAAACTCTAAACAACGTAACTTTAAGTAAGGATAATTTCTTATTGATCTTGTGTTTTTACGCGAGTAAACTCTAAACAATGTAACTTTAAGTAAGGATAATTTCTTGTTGATCTTGTGTTTTTACGCGAGTAAACTCTAAACAATGTAACTTTAAGTAAGGATAATTTCTTGTTGATCTTGTGTTTCTACGCGAGTAAACTCTAAACAATGTAACTTTAAGTAAGGATAATTTCTTGTTGATCTTGTGTTTTTACGCGAGTAAACCCTAAACAATGTAACTTTAAGTAAGGATAATTTCTTATTGATCTTGTGTTTCTACGCGAGTAAACTCTAAACAATGTAACTTTAAGTAAGGATAATTTCTTGTTGATCTTGTGTTTCTACGCGAGTAAACTCTAAACAATGTAACTTTAAGTAAGGATAATTTCTTATTGATCTTGTGTTTCTACGCGAGTAAACTCTAAACAATGTAACTTTAAGTAAGGATAATTTCTTGTTGATCTTGTGTTTCTACGCGAGTAAACTCTAAACAATGTAACTTTAAGTAAGGATAATTTCTTGTTGATCTTGTGTTTCTACGCGAGTAAACTCTAAACAATGTAACTTTAAGTAAGGATAATTTCTTGTTGATCTTGTGTTTCTACGCGAGTAAACTATAAACAATGTAACTTTAAGTAAGGATAATTTCTTGTTGATCTTGTGTTTCTACGCGAGTAAACTATAAACAATGTAACTTTAAGTAAGGATAATTTCTTGTTGATCTTGTGTTTCTACGCGAGTAAACTCTAAACAATGTAACTTTATTTATCCTGAATAGTTCTGTCTTTTCTGAATCTTTCTTACCTGTGATCAAACAAATAATTTATTCTTTTCTTAATATTAGGGATGCTACTTTATTTTAAAACCGCTTTATGTCTAATGACTGAAATATAATATCCAAACCTAGATTTACCTAAAATTATTGTTAGCTGGTTCTTTCAATAAAGTAACAAAAAACCACATTCTTTTCTAGGAGACTGTGAGACAAGTTATCAGACGTCTTCATGATTTGTTGTTTGGTGATGAAGCTTGCTCTGCTTCTACTTCAGAAACGTTAGAGTCATTTATGTACAGACTTCATTCTCGATCAACTAAAGATAGAAATTCTGCTGTTAAGGTAGGAATACGCATATCTTAAATTTGAGTCTTAAAGAATTCATCTATTCATCTCAAACAAGGGAGTAAATGGAAATTTTATTCAAGCATTACGCTTTACCGAAATTTTACCTTCAGTTAAATATGAGAAGAATTTCAAATTTACTTCATACTTTCACTTTTGGATATTCAACGTATTTTTTACCTAGAACACGAAGTACATAAAATTATCAAATTAATTCGTGTATAATTACCTTAAGGTTGTTGTAGCCTAGATTTTCGTCGCTCCTTTCCGTCTCTGTGTGTACTTATCGCTTGCCTACGTTAAGGTTGTTGTAGCCTAGATTTTCGTCGCTCCTTTCCGTCTCTGTGTGTACTTATCGCTTGCCTACGTTAAGGTTGTTGTAGCCTAGATTTTCGTCGTTCCTTTCCGTCTCTGTGTGTACTTATCGCTTGCCTACGTTAAGGTTGTTGTAGCCTAGATTTTCGTCGCTCCTTTCCGTCTCTGTGTGTACTTATCGCTTGCCTACGTTAAGGTTGTTGTAGCCTAGATTTTCGTCGTTCCTTTCCGTCTCTGTGTGTACTTATCGCTTGCCTACGTTAAGGTTGTTGTAGCCTAGATTTTCGTCGTTCCTTTCCGTCTCTGTGTGTACTTATCGCTTGCCTACGTTAAGGTTGTTGTAGTCTAGATTTTCGTCGTTCCTTTCCGTCTCTGTGTGTACTTAAAGCTTGCCTACGAGGAGCTTTGACCGTCACCGCATGAGTGATTTGTTTTGAGAGCAATTTTGTTATTTGACCTATAGTTTGGCTATAAAATAATTTGTTAATTTGCTCTTTGAAAATTTTTGCAGTCTTGATGGTGCTGAATCTAAATGAAATTTTTTCTTTACGCATGCGCAATCATTAGCTGGAGAACTTCCGAAGTTCTAAGGATATATCTTTCTCTAGATAATTTGGAGGTTCTGTTTGACATTAAGTGTTTATAACAACATTTACTTTGTACTTCCTAGGCTTTACGTTTGATATTTATGTTTGGCAAAGAGAATCACATCTCCTACAATGATCCATCCTCCTGGCTTTTGGTGTTTGTACCAACATTGCCGTATTTTCACTCCGTTCTGAACTCATTGACGATCGCTTTACGTAAGGTTTGTGGATTTTGAAGATCGTAAATCAACATAAGAATTTCATTGCATTTTGATTGCAAAACAAACTTGTCCATGTACAATGTGATTGATTTTTAACAAAAAATGATAAAAAATTTTTTGTCACAACAAACGATTGTCATCCATTGCTTTCGTCTGCTTTCTCCTAGTAATTCCTTAGTTGCATGCGGTACAATGTCATTTTGTTTTGATTGAACAATTTTCGTTCGTTAACGAGAAGCAAGTTTCTCGTTTTTCGCTAAAGTCACTTCGTTTTTTTTTTGTTGCGTTCACTTTAGGCATGTACCGAAGAGCTGAAGTTAACGAGAAGCAAGTTTCTCGTTTCTCGCTAAAGTCACTTCGGTTTTTTTGTTGCGTTCACTTTAGGCATGTACCGAAGAGCTGAAGTTAACGAGAAGCAAGTTTCTCGTTTCTCGCTAAAGTCACTTCGGTTTTTTTGTTGCGTTCACTTTAGGCATGTACCGAAGAGCTGAAGTTAACGAGAAGCAAGTTTCTCGTTTGTCGCTAAAGTCACTTCGGTTTTTTTGTTGCATTCACTTTAGGCATGTACCGAAGAGCTGAAGTTTGAAAGACTCCAATCCTACATAATTTTTCTCTCTCTGTATTCCTCTGAAGAATCTATGCTGGATGTTTCAAAGGTATTTTCAACGTATATCGTAACATGAAAGAATGATGCTACGTATTTCATTATGCAAAAATCAGAAAGATGTGTTTAAATTGTTGAACTGAATCTATAACCGGAAGGCCTGTGTACTTTTACGAAGCCAAATTTTTGCTTCAAGCTCGCGTTTCTCGAGGTAAAGTCACACGTTTTAGCTTAATGTCGAAATAATCTTTTTTGGCCGTGCGTGGAAAGATTGGAACTAGTTAAGATATAGGCTTCACATTTTGCGGAAAGTAGCCGTCCAGCTAAATGATTTAGAACCTTTAGAACCCAATCCCCTAGATTTTTAAAGAATAGGCTAGAGGAAAGTTAAAAAATCAATCGTGTCAGAGATTAAAAAACAAAATGTAGACCATTAACTTTGAATTTGTAAATCAACGCAGAAGAAGCGTATTTTAGTCGTAAAATATCGTCAGTTTTGCCACTTTTTAAGATGGCGGCTTGCTTCTCTTGTAACTATAGAATTTTGGTGGAATCAATTATTTAGTAGACTGGGTTCTAGGTCATTGGTCCAGTTACATTCAGTTCAATAAATCAAATTTAGTTTTGTCGTTAAATTTAACCAAATGTGAATTCTGCATTGATGATTTTCCTCATGATCCAACGCGCGACGCCATCTTTGTGGCTGTGAATTAGACCGTTGAGCCCAATATGGTTTATTTAAAAGTAACCTATAGCTAAAGGACGACATGGTTTATATCGTAAAAATTAACAATTTGCAATATGAATCAAGTTTCTTTTATCATATTTAAGGATCTGGGAGAACTTCTGACGGATAGATCAACTGTATTAAAAAGCATCCTCCGAAATGACATGCCAAAAGGAATGCAGACCCACGAATCTCTGTTGAAAATCTTCAACGCCGTCCTTACAAAAGCACTTGAGACAGTTTCCAGCGAAGTTGTTTGGGTAAGATTAAAGTAATCATTTTCACACGTGATTGTGACGTAGCCAGCCTAGAACGTTGGTCATGCTACGTTTACGAAATGTTTACTGTGTTTGCACAGACTAATGCAAACCGAGAGACCTTTAGGAGAACTCAAGATCAGATCATTGCAAGCCCGAGAACGAAAGTCGAGGGTTCTCTTAAGCTTCTACGAGGTTTGCATAAGCCAGTGCAAACACGAAAAACATGTTTTATTTCTTTTATAAAATAACAATAATAAACAGATAAATTTGAAAGAAACGTTTAAATTTCCCTCAAATATGCTTTCATGATTGATTTTCAAATTCTCCTTGATTGATTTAGGCCACATTTACACTATATACTGTATTACTATGGTAGCAGGTTAAATTTTCTATGCATTAAAAAGCAGTTGTATTGCAGAAACACAATTAAATAGCCTAAGTCTATCAACTTAATGAGCATTTACTCCAAACAGTTATCCTTTTAAAGCAAATTAGAATGTCGTGATGAGCGAATCCGCTGTAGTGTATACGCAGCCTTGCAGCCTTAATAGATTAAGCTCAGATTGGTTTGCACAGGTTAATTGCTGTTATTTTATTGTTGTTATTTTATGAAGTAATTTGGTGTACACTTACTGTAAAACTAGTGTTTCTAAAGATATAAATATGCCAATGCTCTAAAATTAAAATAACATCACCAATCTTACAGGATGGCAACGTGACGGGCATTCTAATAAATCTTTTACATTTATATCGGTGTAATTGCTTGCGAACAAAACGACTTGTAATGAATGATGTTTTTATTGCTAAAGGATAATATAGAAAAGTCGCTATTCGTTCGATGGTCGAAGAACACAATGCATAGTGGGAAGGCAACAACCATTAGCAGTCATATCATTCAAGCCAGTCTTGTGTTACTAACATTTGGACCCAGTCAAGGTATTACATTATTATTATTATTATTATTATTATTATTATTATTATTATTATTATTATTATTATTATTATTATTATTATTATTATTATTATTATTATTATTATTATTATTATTATTATTATTATTATTATTATTATTATTATTATTATTATTATTATTATTATTATTATTATTATTATTATTATTATTATTATTATTATTATTATTATTATTATTTTATTATTATTTGTCATATACTTTATTAATTTGCAAATTAAAGAACAGGGGGGAGTGTTTAAGCTCGTTCTACAGAATCTGGTAAAAAATATGGTAAAATTACATTCGGTTTACATCTACATAATTATACAAGAAAACTTCCTTTTCCACTTTTCACTTCTCATCATATTTGTCATTCCGACAGCATCCAGTCAAATGTACTACAATCTGTTGAACACGTGGTGTCCAGCTGATGGCAACGTGAAAGCATTCCTACCAAATACAGGAGAAGAGGTGGAGTTCATTCCAGGCTGGTTACGTCTTAAAATGATTTGTTCAAATGTCGAACGACTTGAGGATGCAGGTGATTTACATAGCAAATACATTACATTTTCCCATTGTATGTTCATTCATACGTCACAGTATGACGTCAAATATTTTGAAATCGAAGTGGGCAATGCTGAGGTGTAATTGTCATTTGTTATATTTGCTCACGTTTTTACTTTCTTTAGCAATTTCTAGCATTGAACCGTCTAAATTGGTTGATTTTCTTGCTTCATATGGAATTCCTGTAAGAAGTGCAAGGTAATGGGACTTGAAAGAGTCGTATTAAATTTGTGTTCTTATACACTCCATTGTTATGTCTTCATCAAAAGACACAACTCATGTTATAACATCAGTTCTTATATAATCCAGTCTAGTGTCTTCATCAGGAGTGATCTGATGTTGAAACTTGAGTTCTTATATACTCTAGTATAGTGTCTTCATCAGGAATGATCTGATGTTGAAACTTAAGCCTGGTCTCAACATCAGGTTGAAGCTTGTTGTTTTTTCTAGTAAAATGTTAAAAAGTCTCGATTCATTTGTTCAAACTCATCCTCATTTAATTGACGAAGTAATTGCCGAAAACAGTGAGTTTTTCTTGGGTCTCAATTTAAACTAGACGAAAAATTTCTTTTGCCAATCAAAAGGTGTACTAATGTGAGAATATTTATATTAAGAAAGGATATCGGATCTCATTGTTTTACATCAGTCCCGTGGTGCTTCAGGTGGTGAAATTATACACTCGTTCCTTAACGGCAGCGAGTTGAAGATCTCCAGTAAGTGCATGTTAAGACGTTTTAAAGCAAACTTTGCTCAAGTCAGAAAGTCTCCATTGTTGCATGCAACTAGCTCAATAGATGAAGCCATACATATGCTCGAATTATTTTATCACCAAAGGCACCGTGAATAGGTTTTGCACTGAGGGTGACAATTGCAGAATAAAGGAGGGACAGAACGATGTACGTCTTTCTGCTCAGTCTATTTGTTATAAAAGAAACATTTCTCTTTTTTGTCTTGCGAAGTACACTTACAGAAAGCATATGTTATTTTCTTTCGATAAAAGAAGATTTTCGTGTTGCAGGCAGGCCTTTCAGAGAAGAGCTCTTGCCGCCTCTACGATCGTCCCACGTGATTTTAGAAGAAGACAGCGTGATTGTTATAAAGGGTTTAGATTCTTTGGAAGAAATTAAGCATGCTGTTGGAAAGGTTTGTGTGACGTTTGAGTCTTGTTGCTTTAGCGTCTTATTGCATCGAATGGTTTATCCTGGTGATCAATCTCCTCCGCAGAGGCTTTTTGGGTTTGGTACTTAATGGTTTGGCTGTGTTGGTAGCTTTTCCTTTCTTTTATATTTGTCTTACACGAAGTTCTTCCGAAGGGAAAGAGCACGCAAAGAATGTAGTGTAAGACTACTTAAAAATGGTCGGAAAAACCGTAATACCTCTCGAAATCCGGTTTTAAAATGATCAAAAGCCGAAAGGCTCTCAAAATCCGAAAAGCCTGTGGGAGGAGAGTGCCTGGGGATAGTATACTTTCTCTAACTTTTGATCTTGGTCCACATAGATATTTCCTTTTTCCAAGAGCTCTTCGTCTACAGAACAATCTCATCTAGCATTTCTTCTTCAAAAGGTAAAGGCCTGGTTACACTATTTTTATGGCACAGTTTTCTTATGCACAATCGTCTTTGAGAGAAGGCGTACTAAATTCATTTCATTTATTTCAACATCAGAAAATCAGCAACGACGTTTCTCATGTTCACAAAGGAGTAAACTTTAGCCGAACCGTCTCCGAGAAGCTTATCAATGTTTTAATCAAGGTTTGAAGATTTTTGCACAAAACATAGTTTGCATGAATGTAGAAAGTACTTACTTAACAGAAAAGTTGAAAACCTCGTCGATTCCTTTGAATGAAGGAAAATATTTGTGCATCTTATTTAGATCCTAAAATCGTCCGAGTCTGCTGCGTTTTCCAACATCTTTTTTAACTCACCAAGATTTGCTCATCCACTTTTGAGAATTCTCATCGCCAGAGAGGTATGAATGAATAGACATGCTTTTAATAAACAGGAGAATTGAAGGACTTTCCTTATTCTCTGAAATGTTCTCTCGGTCCAGGCTCGCTCATAAGAACGACTGAAGATCGTACGGTTTTTTTGCGTAATGACGAATCTTAGTGGTATCTTGCACCTTCCTAGAGTGACGTCATGTATTTATTAAATGACGTCATCATAACACAAGCGAATTGTTATTCATTATTACGTGATGAAAGAGTAACATTGAGTCTTGAACGCCTATATGGTATAGAGAAATTTGAAATATGATATATCACTTGTTGTGTGAATATTTTGTGTTTGGATTGATGAATTGTATTTCAATTCATTTAGTGCTTTCTCGGCGAACTGCACACTTTGTTATGCTTGAAACGGTGGAGCAACTAAATTTCATAAAATTATATTTCCTGTCACCACTATTGTCGTACAAACCAAATCACGTGAATTTTGCTAGCTATATAGCCCCCCCCCCGTTTTCATGTATGCGTCCCCTGTATCCATTGTTTTTCTCCCCCCCGTGAATCTGCTCACAATTCTCTCCTCTTCAGTCTTTCTAATTATTTGTATCCTAGACTATCTTAGAAAAACAAGGAGACTACTCTGCATTTCCAGACTTGGTCGATTTGCTTTCTAAGCATTGTAAAGGTATTTACTTTGGCCACGTTTGCACTATACCGGATTGCCATCGTAGCAGGTTGAATATTCTTTATATTAAAAGGCAGTAAAATTGTTCAGCGTCAGAAACACGATCAAATAGACAAAATCTATCAGCTTAATAAACTTTTACTCCGAACAGTTAACACTTTAAAGTAAATGACGATGTCGTGATGAGCGAATCCGGTTTCGTGTAAATGCAACCTTAAAATCAGTGAATTTACTCTGTAGGCAAACTGTATTATTTTGGTCTATTTGTAGATGGTCCAATTTCATCCCTTATCACAAAATATATTGTCAAATCCAGAACAAGACATCGCCGGATTGTAAAGCCAGGTTATTGTACATTTTATGTTGCCATGATTAAGAACGGATTTTAAATTTTTTCTTGGGGGAGGAGGGGGGTGCCCAAAATTCTGTAAAAATGGGAGAATGGTGTAAACACTTCATTTTAACACGTGCTTATAACTTAAATCTTCAGCTGAACAAAGCTAAACATGATCTTCAACTGTTTCATACGTTTCTTTCACCATGAAATATTACGATCCTTAAGCTACGCGTCATTTTGTCTGATACATCTGTTTCTATGGTAACCATGGGCGGTATATTGTAAAATAACCGACCAACGAGAGTGAAGAATACAATAAGCGTTTGTTAAATAATAACACTAGCTTTTATTTTAGAGAACAGGCACACAAAGCTATAATTTTATTTTGTCTGTATTTTTCTTGGTGGAGGCACTTTCATCCAGAGAGTTCGAAAGTTGCTAGGAGGGTCAAAAATTTCTGATGAGGTGCACCCACCCACCCCACCCCCCAAAGAAAAATCTGTTCTTAGCTACGATACAATGTTTTGCTTCTGTCTTTTCAAATGTAAATGCTAAATGTTCGTACCACTTGTTGTGTTCAGTTTCGCCAAGTGCAATCCGTTTTGTATTGAATAAAGTCGAATCGGGTGCGTCGCTCACAGATAGTGAAGTCAAAGATGCCATCACTGCTCTGAAAAGTCTAAAGAATCACGAAAAAATGCCCGAAGTCAAGGAATTTATGCCTGGTATTTGTAGTAACGTTTGTTTTATTGTTTATCATTTTCTGCTGATATATTGTATTGTAGGCAGAGCCATCGTTAGAACGTTAATTTGAGGGTTTGTTTTATTCATGTATTCAATTTTGCCCGACTAACTTCTTTTAAAAGCAATTCACTTAATGAATGGAGCCTCAACGTCCCTCAGGCTCTTTTCGACGCCTCGAGAAATTTTGGCGTAGTCATCTTCACTAACGTTTGGATCGAGCATGAATGAATAAAAAATGAACAGTCTTTCCTTCCATAAATCACAAAATGCTTTTTTTAGTGCTGACCTATCTTTTTGCAACAAGATCCCATTATATCGACGAATTTCTTCGTGTTTTAATCGCCCAAATTATCCCAAGCAATCCCAACGAATCATTTTCTCAGCAAACAAGTCAATTCATCCAAGATCTTATTGGCTTAATACAAAATCGTAGTAGTAACTCTTCACGGGCCGGAAATGGCGCTATCATGGACTGGTTACCAATCCTCGATCCATCTATTGTCAATATTAGTCCATTGAAACAGAGAGAATTGTTATTTGGTAGTACACTTGGGATAAATGGGGATAATGATGCACCACCGCAAGGAATGCTGTTGTTGGTGTTACTGATTCACAGTGGTAGTTGGGGACATTTACAGGATACGTTGGATTGGTTGCTGAATCAGCACGTTGTAGCTTCAAGGTATCAATACGTTTGATAAATATGATTTATTGATTTATATGGCACATGCGTTAAATTCTCGGTTTTGCCATTCATATTGAATAATGACACCCTAACTGTTTGAACCTGTATGTGATCTTCCTGAAAAAGAAATCTCTGAATTTAAGACAAAGATTAATCGAGTATTCATTAAATAGAATTGTCCTATATTTTTCTAATAGGTATAATATTACTTTAAGTCATCAATTTAAGATTTGAACTCGACTATCAATGGTGATAGCAAAGTTTCATATTACAATTTTGTTTGATATTTTTCTCTTTCCTATACTTGATGTTAGCAGACACTAAGGAGTGCATAGCTTTATTCCACCTCATTTGTCGTGCAACAAGCCCAAGTTCTTAATTAAATGTTTTATAAATAAATTTAAGTTCTTGTCTTATAATTTGTTTAAGTCCACTTATAAAATCGTTTATCTGGTGTTATAGCGTTAATCCTACGTCTGTGTTGTGCTTTTTCGAAAGCTGTTTGATTATTCCGCATTTGTGGCAAGGGCGAGATACGAAATCGGCGCAGGGTATTGAGACGAGTTTTTATGATGACGTCATGGAACCTGGAATCCTTTCCTTATCATCGGAACAAATTCGATGTCTTGTCGAGTATATTTTAAAAGAAGCAGAGTTGTCAAAACAGAAGATTAAAGGTAACTGTAAGATAAGCGGAAATAGAACATGATACAGTGGATTATCATTAGCACCATCATTGCACTTCATCGTCTCTATGTAAACATTTTTTTCAATTACTGACTTATTGTTAGATTGTGCTCAAAGTTCTTCCGAATTTGAAGATTTGTTTGAAAGTCGTGTTTCTTTGCTGTTGCGTTGCTGTAAAGGAAAACTACAACATCTTCGTACCGTTATTGAAAAAATACAATCAAGCAATTGGTTAGCAATGTTTACTGTTTACTGTTGAGTAGGTGTGATTCAAATGTAAGCTTGTACACTGGGGGATAGTATGAGATAATTAGGGATGATTCAAATGTAAGCTTGTACCTTGTGGGATAGTATTAGATAAGTAGGGGTGATTCAAATGTAAGCTTGTACACTGTGGGATGGTATGAGATAAGTAGGGGTGATTCAAATGTAAGCTTGTACACTGTGAGATATGAGATAAATAGGGGTGATTCAAATTTAAGCTTGTACACTGTGGGATAGTATGAGGATTATATACCGGATTCGTTCATCACGACATATTCATTTTCTTTAAAGTGTTAACTGTTCAGAGTAGAAGCTTATTAAGTTGATAGATTTCGTCTATTTGATTGTGTTTCTGACGTTGAGCAATTTCACCGCTTTTTAATACAAAGAATATTTAACTTGCTATGATGGCAATCCGGTATAGTGTAAATGGGGCCTTTTTAATTGATGAAACATTCGTATTTATTCTTGGGAGACCTAAGTTTGTTATACTGAGGAGAGTACTCCTGAAGGATAAACATGGATTTTTATTGAGCTTAACTAAATCTTTGCATATGAAGTACTCCTCAAGGATATCTAGGGATGTTTTGTAACAGTCATTGATATCTAGAAATGTTTTGTGACATTCATTGGCTACTATTACTTACCAAGGTGTCCTGTCTCATGAAAATATTTTTTTTATTGTAGTTGGTCAAAAGAAATTCTTAAACAATTCCTCGTGAAACTTTATCTGTATTTACCGGAACTTTCATCCTGGATAAAAGACCCAGACTGCCTCGTTGACTTAAAACGTATTATTGCAGCAAGTCATGGAAAGGTTTTTGAAATTTACACTTTTTTGCGTGGTGATCCTGCTGCAAAAGCGTTTCATAAAAACAAAACTTCCTTTATAGTTATATTGTGATTTGAAGGTCGTCTTTTATTTATCCAGATGTAGCTATCTTCTGAAAAATGTCTAACTGCACATACTTTGATTTCAGTAGCTTTGCTCTAGATAATCAATGATTTTGTTAACGTCTGTATGAACGTTTAGTAAATTAAGTTTATTATATTAAGTTTGCTATTAAGATTACTATATTAATTTCAGTAAATCATTCTGGATTTGTGGTTGGAAAGCAACAACATTAGTGGTAATTACATATATGTTATCAGTGGTAATGTTGGAGGTAGTAGTACGTTGTAGTACTATATCAGGTAGTTGTAGTCATAAGGTATAGGTTTAGTATGAGCCTTATGTGATAATATGGAGTATGGTAGTAATGTGAGGTTTAAGTGGTAACGTGAGGTATAAGTGGTTATTTGAGGATCTTAGTGGTAATGTGAGGTATATATGGTATTATGAGGTATAAGTGTCAATATTAGTATAAGTGGCAATATGAGGTATAAGTAGGAACATGTGATGGTAATAAGTAAGAAACGTTACAGAGATTGTCACAAAGGTGTATAATGTTTATCACTGAAACCTAATTTTTCACTCCAATTTTTTCCTATGGTCTTGGTGCTTGACATTCAGATAAAACTGCTCACAGTTTTGACTTGTCACTAAATTTTGAACATCTCATCGTTGTGTAGTTCGACGGTCTTTTCCATCGCATGATCTCCATATTAAACGATACAGAGTCTGGTAAAACTTGGGAACATCGTATAGATGGCGTCGTTTTGTTGTGTAAAAAGATGGCCATTTGTCATCCCGCTCATGTTTTAAGGTAACAAACAAAGATATGATGACGTAGTAGTTCTTAAAAGAACTGTTTAAAACCAGAGCACTAACCCAGCAATTCTAAAAGAACTGCTTTCAAAGCTGAAAGAGTCAAAAAAGCTTTAAAAACAGTTCTTTTAGAATTTTGTTTTGGTTCTTAATAATAGAATTGTTACGCTATTATTTTGATCATTAACAATGGTATTCGCTTCTTTTTAAAACAATCTTTAAATTTGTCTCTTGACGAAGTCTTTATTTTGCTATTCAAACAAAGAAACGCCATATTATCTCATATCCTCCAATACGCGCTTGAGGCGTTTATTAACTTCTGTTATGTAATAGAAAGAGTGTAGTTCGTAAAAATATGCAACTGAGGGAGTATTTATTTTGGAACGTAACTCTTAATCTCCTTGTAAGGTTCGGTATGTTACATCGGGAAATTTAAAAAGGAAGAATTAAATTCCCACTAGGACATCAGAAAGACACCTAAATTTGATGCAAATTTTAAATTCCTTAGAGGATTATACATAGCGCATTTATCTATAAGATTGTTTTATATTATTACTGCTATCATCGTAATAAATGGAGAAGACGTGAGTGGAGGCGGCGTGTATTGGAAGGAGGCGTGTATTATAGAGAGGTGTGTATTAAAGGGAGGCGTGTATTGGAGGGAGGCGTGTATTAAAGGGAGGCGTGTATTAAAGGGAGGCGTGTATTAAAGAAAGGTGTGTATTAAAGGGAGGCGTGTATTTAAGGGAGGCGTGTATTAAAGGGAGGCGTGTATTAAAGAAAGGTGTATGTTGGAGGGAGGTGTGTATTAAAGGAAGGTGTTTATTGTCGTTTATATGTAATTGACCCGTCGATTATATGAAGGGTGTAATTAAGGCTTGGCTTGTATTATACGAAAGGCGTTGTCTACAGCGTGACAAGAACTGCCGGCCGAGATACACTATCGCTGTCGCTAGGTTGTTACCACTCAGCGACATAACGACATGGTGTTGTAAAAATGATGTAAAGACACACTGTCGCTGTCGCTAAGTCGTTACCACTCAGCGACATAACGACATGGTGTTGTAAAAATGATGTAAAGATACACTATCGCTGTCGCTAGGTCGTTACCACTCAGCGACATAACGACATGGTGTTGTAAAAATAATGTAAAGATACACTATCGCTGTCGCTAGGTCGTTACCACTCAGCGACATAACGACATGGTGTTGTAAAATAATGTAAAGATACACTATCGCTGTCGCTAGGTCGTTACCACTCAGCGACATAACGACATGGTGTTGTAAAAATAATGTAAAGACACACTGTCGCTGTCGCTAAGTCGTTACCACTCAGCGACATAACGACATGGTGTTGTAAAAATGATGTAAAGGTACACTATCGCTGTCGCTAGGTCGTTACCACTCAGCGACATAACGACATGGTGTTGTAAAATAATGTAAAGATACACTATCGCTGTCGCTAGGTCGTTACCACTCAGCGACATAACGACATGGTGTTGTAAAATAATGTAAAGATACACTATCGCTGTCGCTAGGTCGTTACCACTCAGCGACATAACGACATGGTGTTGTAAAAATAATGTAAAGATACACTATCGCTGTCGCTAGGTCGTTACCACTCAGCGACATAACGACATGGTGTTGTAAAAATAATGTAAAGACACACTGTCGCTGTCGCTAAGTCGTTACCACTCAGCGACATAACGACATGGTGTTGTAAAAATGATGTAAAGGTACACTATCGCTGTCGCTAGGTCGTTACCACTCAGCGACATAACGACATGGTGTTGTAAAATAATGTAAAGATACACTATCGCTGTCGCTAGGTCGTTACCACTCAGCGACATAACGACATGGTGTTGTAAAATAATGTAAAGATACACTATCGCTGTCGCTAGGTTGTTACCACTCAGCGACATAACGACATGGTGTTGTAAAAATAATGTAAAGACACACTGTCGCTGTCGCTAGGTTGTTATCACTCAGCGACATAACGACATGGTGTTGTAAAAATGATGTAAAGATACACTGTCGCTGTCGCTAGGTCGTTACCACTCAGCGACATAACGACATGGTGTTGTAAAAATAATGTAAAGATACACTATCGCTGTCGCTAGGTTGTTACCACTCAGCGACATAACGACATGGTGTTGTAAAAATAATGTAAAGACACACTGTCGCTGTCGCTAGGTTGTTACCACTCAGCGACATAACGACATGGTGTTGTAAAAATGATGTAAAGATACACTGTCGCTGTCGCTAGGTTGTTACCACTCAGCGACATAACGACATGGTGTTGTAAAAATAATGTAAAGACATACTGTCGCTGTCGCTAGGTTGTTACCACTCAGCGACATAACGACATGGTGTTGTAAAAATAATGTAAAGATACACTATCGCTGTCGCTAGGTTGTTACCACTCAGCGACATAACGACATGGTGTTGTAAAAATGATGTAAAGACACACTATCGCTGGCGATACGAGCGAAGCGATCAAATTTTGATGGCTTTTATGGCCGGAAGTGTGGTTTTTGCGGCTTTACTCAAACATGGCGACTATAACGAAGCATTGCGCGCAACTTTATTAGCTATAATTTTAAACGAATTAGAGGAAGATGAGATCAAACACTATTTATTAGAGCTTCTTCGAAAGACGCCATTTTGAATTTGTCTCAGCGCCACAGCGATTCCATGTGCTCCCGCGATTTTGCTGGCGGTGTTGAAACGACACAGCGGCAAGGCTTGGTAACCTGGAAAACATGTCTCTGAGTGGTAACGACCTCGCGATAGCCGATAGTGTGTCTTGGCCTTTAAAGGTCATCAAGATAATTAAGCTTTCTCATACTTGGTTTTTCTTGCAGATATCTACCTGTGATATCATCATTAGTACGTGGACGAACCCATTTGACGTCAAAACAATTTTATGGTCAAAATCATTTTCTGTTTTTCACACATATTTTGGGCCTGTTGGAGAGTCTACGTCCTCACATATTTGATACAGTCAAGGTGATTTTGCTGTCGACTAAAAATTCTAAAGTTTTTTTTTCATGATGTCAATAAACTTGTTTCAGGCTTCTTGGTCACCGTGTTGTTTAAAACAAGTTACAATGCCTTTTAAAAGTCAGAGTTGCATATTTTTATAAGTTTTTGTCTAACTTTTTGCAAGTATTTATATCCCTATTTTATATATAATAAACAATTTTTTAACTATATATTTGAAACTTTTGGAAACTTCAATAAATTAACCCCTAAATGACTTGAAATTCTAAGACCAACCCTACTGGTTTATACAATCGTACTTTTATCCCTAATCCTAACCTAACACCAACACTAATCCTACAGGTATACACAATCGTATTTTTATTCTTTTCAGTTCATTGAAGACGGTCTTAACGACGCGTTGGATTCATTCTTGGACTTGGTTCTGGTAGAAAAGTTATTTCATTCAGCATGTAGCGTAAGGCCCCGTTTACACGAGCCCAGGTTGATATTTAACCCGGGCCAGACTGCGATAGGTTGTTATGTTTACACAAATAGTGAAATTAAGAATGCCTAGTTGAAGCAGTGGACGTATTTGAGCAAAAAGAAAAGAAAAAACACGGTTTTCAAACATTAATTTGTACTTCGTCTTCGATAACAAAATTTCAAAAAAACTTGATCAGCTATTGCTTGTTTATTTTGTCAGCCAATTACATTTTATCACGTGATTAAGCTAGCCAATAGCATTTCTTCAGTCTTATAGATCACGTAAGCATGATATTTGCAAAATCAAGACTTTTCAATGTTCCACGTGTTGGGGGACAAAGAAAACAAACTGTTTCACGGTTTAGTTTGGGAATTTTTTTCGATTTTATTATATAAAACAAATAGATAACATTTGACCGTTGTCTATAGTTATAGATAAATGGGAATGACGTCATTGTGATAAAAACTAACTCACCCCTGCGGCTCGTGGCCACTTTTTAAGTTTTTATCACAATTGACGTCATACCCGTGTATCTATAACTGTATAGACAACGGTTAAATATTTCTGTTTGTTAAATAACAGCTATACATAAACTTAAAAGATTATTTTGCTTTGGCAGTTTAATTTAATCTTGCTCTTTTTGCTTCCAGTCCCAATGCTTAAAACAGAAAGAACGCGCGAGTTTTGTCACGAAACTCGTTGAATTCTTACAACAGTATCTCACCCACAATCCATCTGGGTCTTTGAAATACCTTCATACTAAAATGGACGCTCTAATGTAAGAATCCTAGTGATACAAACGTTATTGCTACTTTGCTTTGGTTTATCTGTAGCCTCTGCCAAGTTAGGATTTAACTCAAGATTCTGTGTTTGCTTAGGGATTTGTCGCTAGATTATCCAGATCTTCCATGTCTAAACTCGATATTAGCCGTATTATCCGTACCGAGGAATCTAAGCAATCTCGACTCTAGTACAGAAACCAGCAATGCGGGATCATCTTTACTAGATGTCGCTCCCAGTCCCTCATTAATGATGCCGCCCTGTAGTACGCCGTGGTCGCCAAGTCAGATCGAACCGTTTCTTCAAAAGATTACATCGAATCAACCCATCAGCGGTATGAAGAAATTTTTCTAAATCATCACCTATTGTGCATTACTACTATGGATCTCTACTTAGGGGGGGGGGTGATCTTTGAGGATATAATGATGGGGAGATCTGTACAGGGTGAGGGGGTAAATGAGGTGATCTTTGTTGAGGGGCGACAGGAAGTAAGGTTATCGGTAGGGGAGGACAGAGGTAAATAGGTGATCTGTACGGAGGAAAGGGATAAACTGGGTAATCTGTACGGAATAAAGGGGGTAAATGAGGTAATTTGAATCACAGAATCCATGATGCTTTATTATCATTATATTTTGTCGTCCATCTTAAATGCCCGTTTTTCACCTTTTACCCTCATTCTTGTTGACATTTTTTCTACGTTCTTCAGAAGTGCTAAAAGTTCTCAATGATTTGGACGAGACATCAAAAAGAAGAGTAGATATATTGCAATATTTCTTGGTAAGCAGAGCTGTACGAAATATAGGGCGAGTTCACTTCTATTATATGAAGGAGCAATTTTGGCATGGTAATATTGTGATATGGTGACCTTGGCTTTGTTACACAGAGTGGGGTGATTTTGACTTAACTAAACTAGGTTGAGGCAACTTTGGATTTTTATGCTGTAGTGGGGCGATCTTAACTTTCTTATAATAGAAAAGGGGGTGAGGACTTTGATTTTGTTAGATTAGAAAACTTTCAATTATATGGGGTGAGGAAACTTTGGCTTTGTCGTGATTTTAATCATGATTTTAAAATATCTTCTTTAACTAGGTTGTATGCTTGTTTCCATTAAAATCGACTTGATCTTCTTTTGTAGACAGATCTGGTACGCATTACCAAAGATTTAAACGAAACTTGCCGAGATAAAGCACATTGTCTGATTGCAAGACATCTTAAACACAATCCAAGGTTTCTTTTTCTGAAAATGAACTATTTTAAGAGTATTATAATCGTAAATTGTTGTAATCCGTTCAACCCATGTTTATAACAGTTGACTTTGTTCAATAATTTGTCGTATGATTTGTTTTAATAAACGGTTTATCTTTTATTGTATAGGGACTCAAAGTTAATCAAAGATGGGTTAGTGGAGTGCTTGTGTTCTTCAGATCCTGGAATTGTAACTAGTGCAGCAAAAGTTTTACCCGAGATTTGCATTTTAGCCGCAGGTTTGTTGGTAATTAATCTTCATATCGGCGTACGTCAATCGTGGCAATCGTGTGTCAGCTTATGTATGAATGAACAAAAGAGAACGAGAACAGTCTTTACACTAACTAAAATACATTAGAAATAGGATAACGTGTGTTAGTTAAGGTAGTGATGAAAGAACAACAGAGAACAAGAACAGTCTTTACACTAATTAAAATATGTAAGAAATAAGATAACGTGTGTCAGTGTAGGTTGTGATGAATGAACTACAGAGAACAAGAACAATCTTTACACTATGTAAAATATATAAGAAATAAGATAACGTGTGTCAGTGTAGGTAATGATGAATGAACAACAGAAAACAAGAACAGTCTTTACAAGTGCTGATGGTTCTTGTTGAGCCGTCAAACAATAAATTTTCATTCTTTGCTCTTATTATAGAATACTGTGAAGAGATTTTCGAGAAAGTGTTTATGTTTTCAACAAAGAAACTTGCCAAAGTTGGATTGAGTGTCACGAAAACATTTCAAATGTTCAATTTTGATTAATTTGCTGTTTATGTAGAATAAATAAAGAAAAACAAAGCAAAACCATGATGTGCATCTTTTTGCCTAAAGATAAAATAAACAACCAAACCTATTTGCAGTTATTTTCCTTTGTGGCTTCTTTTTCTAAAAACCAAAAACAAACAATATCTACAAAAAGTAGCAACGATGCAAGGCAAATACCGGGGAAAAAACCTGGAATATCTAGGGCTCATTACTCGATATCTTCTTTCCCCCCGGGTCCTGTACACACGTGGTCGACAATTATCCAATATGGCGAAGCATCATCCCGATTTGATTATGTGTAGAAAACAACCTGGCGTTGGTAAGTTCGTGATTGTATTTCTCATCTCTCCTTGTAAAATGATACAAAATTGATTGATGTATTTTACTTTTTATTCCTTCAGCTATCGGACGTCTGTGTGAGAAATGTAAGTAAAATGTATATGCTATTAATACTTTACTCAGTTTGGTAACTTTGGTTTACCTATTGGAAAATTGTATTTTTGCACAATTTTTTCGAGTGAGATTTGACGTGTTTCAATTTACCATCAATGTTGACAATAAACTGAATTCATTTCAATTCAATCTAAAGAAAACATTCTATCAACATTGTCTTTACTCTTTACACAAAAACAGTTATATCTATTTTTCAGCATTTAAATAACTATTATTTTAGCGTAAACATGTTTCGGCATGCTTATGCCATTTTCAGTATAAGAAGGAAAGGAGAAGAAATGAGATAGAGATTCTATTTACAGATATATTTATATTACATTTATCACAGGTATTAGATTACTGAAACATTTTAGAGATATTTACAAGCTGAATAAAATATGTTTGCTAAGGTCAAGTTTGAGTTAATGTATAGAGAGCTTCTGTAATTTTTAGAGTAAAAGAGAAGGAGTAGCAGTGTCTAGGATGCAAAAACATGAATAGTTGTAGTGAGTTTTACATTGTGGTGAAGTGTGTAGTTGTTTGTAAATGTGTGAATTTTTGTCTGAGATTTTGTGTTCCGTGATGCATGTATAGAGATGGCAAGTTGCCTCATCAACTTGTAAATATCCCTAATATTGTTCAGTAATCTAATACCTGAAACATATGTAATGTAAATTTATCTGTAAATGGACGTAATAGATCTCATTACCTGTACTGAAGATTTGATATGCATGCCGGAAAATGTTTACTCTAAATAAAACAGTTATGAGTAATTATCCAAATAATGGACTCTCAGTGCATATGTCATATGTACTACAAGTTTATATCTAGCATCATACGATTTTGTGTTATTGTTATTTTGCTCTCAATTGATTTAGGTGATGGAAAGTGTGTTGTGTGTGACTCTTACGTACGACCTTGTACACTTGTCAGGATATGTGATGAATGCAATTATGGATCTTATCAGGGTCGTTGTGTGATATGTGGGGGTCCAGGTGTATCTGATGCATACTATTGCAAGGAGTGCACTGTACAAGAGAAAGATGTTAGTAATACCTTATGAATGCATGTTAATCGACTTTCACATGTACTTTATAATTAATATAAGTGCTCTATCATTTTATAATCTGTTTTTAGAGAGATGGTTGTCCAAAGATTGTCAATCTTGGCAGCTCTAAGACTGATCTTTTCTACGAGCGAAAGAAGTACGGATTTAGAAAAAGATAACGTTGAAAAAAAACCCAGCTCCATACACAATGGCTTCCTCATTTAAACCATACCTTTGCTCAAAATGCATGAACCAGAAATGCCGCCAGCTGAATGTAAATGAACTGCTTAAACCTGCATTTTTCCAGACATTTTGAATATATTTTAGCAAAAAAAAACTTGTAGGTAATTCATAAGTTTCCTTAAAGCAATGATAGAAAAAATTCGCTCCATCGTTCTACCTGCCATACCACATCCAGGGGGGTAAGATATTCTTATTAAAAACCAACCCCTTTTTAATTTTAATGAGTAAAGTAAGGTAATAGTTATATGCTGTACAATGCACGAAATTGATCATTTATGCGATCTTTAACCAATACATATGCCTTACCTAGTCTAGTTCTTTAGGACAACGAATTCGTTGTACACGGGAAAATGGGATATTGTTACTAATTCAAACAAACGCGTGCTTCGTGTTAATCGCGCGTGATATTCTCGGTATTTTGTAGGAAAAAGCGGCGCATTCTTTGACATCAGAAGAAAAAAACGTTAAACGGTAATGCAAGCGCGTTCGAGCTCTGCTCATCGTAAACAGTCTGGCGATCGTTTAAAATCTTGACATTATGTGGATTTTATTGAGATTCATAACTTTCTCGTTCAAATGAATGTCTGCAAAGAAGAAGAGAATTTCAAAGCTTTTACGCGGGCTATTATCTTTTCTAATGAAACACCCAAAAATCTCTATTTTCATAGCTGTTTTAAGTTTCGTCTGGTTATTCACATGGCTTTTTAAAAGGTAACGTTCTTGTACATTAAATGAATTAATTCACTGTTTTATATTGCTATAAAGATTTCATTGTTGTTGCATTTCAAATTTGTTAAGTATCCGAATTATTTTTTAGCATTAAATGCAAAGTATGATCTAGCGCATGATGAAAACGGTGTCAATACATTTGTAACCATTTGATTGGATAATTGATATTTTTATGGGGCATTGCTGTGGGTGTGTTTTTCTCTGTGGTTTTTTCCTTAATTTATGTTTGAAGTTTAACAACACAAGTTTTCCTGCAAATTAATGAAAATTGGAATGGTGATAGACAATTAGTTCATGTGTGAAAGAAGGCCTTTGGCTTAGCCAGAATGCAAAGTAGGGCATTGCTGTCCCTGAGATCTAACTCAAGTAAAGTGTAACTGTTCTAGGATGAAAAGTAGTGATATAATTTGACCATTGAGCCTCTTGAAGTCTGACACACAATCCCTCACACCCAAAAGGTTTTCAGTTAAAACCACCATATAGTCCACCTTTTAAAGTGCTGTTCTACTCTTTGCACAACATTTTTTTGTTATTAATTTATGCCCCTGATTTCTTTGTAAAATGTGCCGTACTTCACAGTCTGGTAACCTAGGAGACTGGGAATGTATGGAAGTAGTAGTTTGGGAGATTATTTTTGGTTGTAGGTTCATTTATGTGACATGTGTTTTTGCAGCTGCTGATACGTATCTGATTGGTTGTTTGCAAAATGCATATTGCCATTTATATTAGTTTCGAACTCTACCAGTTTTATTCAACTAACAATATTATACTTGTTATTCAAGGCAATTGATGTTCACTTTTTATTGCTATAGAGGTAACTGTCTTTATCATCCAAGGCCCATCTATCCTTTGTTTCATGCTGGCAGTCCAGTTGTGGACATTCACAATGGCTCAGTGGATGTATTACAATTTCACATCAAAAAATCAAGTGTTTCATTTGTTATGTACTATGCACATTGGTGTGCTCAATCTAAGAAAGCGGTATATGAATTTCATCGTACATCAAAAATTTTCAAAGGACAGGTATGCAACGGTTGATTATATCTAATGATTGTATCCTTACGTACTCCAATATATACTCAATCATGCAATAATGATACTTGTATGTTAGTTCAGTGTAGTGTCTTCATCAGTAGTGATCTTATGTTGAAAGTTAGAGGCAGATCTCCACTGGATGATTTTTATGACAATTGTCTTTAAAATTTGCTGAGGCACAAGCGCAGTACAAATTAAAAATCATCCACAAAATTATCACACGCTCGACGAAAAGTTAAAAGGAGATTCACCTAAAATCCTTATTTTCTTCAATCTAGTGTCTTAATCAAAAGTGATCTTGAAGAATGTGTGTCAAGCATGTAAATGACAAATATGATGGCCATTTTGTAGGTCTAGAAAATGGCAGATTTTGTTATATTGTAGTGACTGAGTTTAGTCCACACAACTTAGACAAATGATGTTAATTAATGTAAAATAGATTTTTTATCAATGTTTTTTTACTAACTTTTCAGATAAATTGGAAGCAAAATTTAATTCAGTGTGCTTCACGTTCAAAAAGTAACAATGTAAACAGATATAAACAAAAGCATGCAATGCATCTTGGTTGACACACATTCTTTACGTTGATAGTTAAATCCTTATATACTCCAGTGTATTGTCTTCATCAGGAATGATCTGATGTTGAAACTTGAGTCTTTATGTACTCCAGTCTAGTGTCTTCATCAGGAGTGATCTGATGTTGAAACTTGAGTTCTTATATACTCCAGTCTAGTGCCTTAATCAGGAGTGATCTGATGTTGAAACTTGAGTTCTTATATACTCCAGTCTAATGTCTACATCAGGAGTGATCTGATGTTGAAACTTGAGTTCTTATATACTCCAGTCTATTGTCTACATCAGGAGTGATCTGATGTTGAAACTTGAGTCTTTATGTCCTCCAGTCTAGTGTCTTCATCAGGAGACATGTGATGATAATACTTGAGTTCTTATATACTCCAGTATAATGTCTTCATCAGAAGTGATCTGACCTTGAAACTTGGGTCCTTATATTCTCCAGTCCTGTGTCTTCATCAAGAGTGATCTGATGTTGAATCTTGAGTTCTTATAAATGTATAATCCATTTTAGTGTCTCTATCATGATTTAATTTTTTTTCAGGTCTCCTTTTTTGCCATTAATTGTTGGGCAGGTCCCTGCAGAAAAAGTGATTTCCCTCAATCTTATCCACTGTTGATTTTGTTTCATACCAATTATGAACCCTTGCAATTTAAAGGAAAACAAAAATATAAAGAACTGGTATGTGAATTAATAATTTTTATTTTGATTTTTTTTCCTCCTAACTCGAACCCTGTAACATACATGAATATGCACCCCTCCCCCTCAATTATTGATCTTCATTGGGTTGGGTGTATCATTTAGACATTGGGTTGGTTGTATCATTTAGACATTGGGTAGGGTGTGTCATTTAGACATTGGGTAGGGTGTATCATTTAGACATTGGGAAGGGTGTATCATTTAGACATTGGGTTGGGTGTGTCATTTAGACATTGGGAAGGGTGTATCATTTAGACATTGGAAGGGTGTATCATTTAGACATTGGGTTGGGTGTGTCATTTAGACATTGGGAAGGGTGTATCATTTAGACATTGGGTTGGTTGTATCATTTAGACATTGGGTAGGGTGTGTCATTTAGGCATTGGGTAGGGTGTATCATTTAGACATTGGGAAGGGTGTATCATTTAGACATTGGGAAGGTGTATCATTTAGACATTGGGAAGGGTGTATCATTTAGACATTGGGAAGGGTGTATCATTTAGACATTGGGAAGGGTGTATCATTTAGACATTGGGAAGGGTGTATCATTTAGGCGTTGGGAAGGGTGTATCATTTAGACATTGGGAAGGGTGTATCATTTAGACATTGGGAAGGGTGTATCATTTAGACATTGGGAAGGGTGTATCATTTAGACATTGGGTTGGGTGTGTCATTTAGACATTGGGAAGGGTGTATCATTTAGACATTGGGAAGGGTGTATCATTTAGACATTGGGTTGGGTGTGTCATTTAGACATTGGGAAGGTGTATCATTTAGACATTGGGAAGGGTGTATCATTTAGACATTGGGAAGGGTGTATCATTTAGACATTGGGAAGGGTGTATCATTTAGACATTGGGAAGGGTGTATCATTTAGACATTGGGTTGGGTGTGTCATTTAGACATTGGGAAGGGTGTATCATTTAGACATTGGGAAGGGTGTATCATTTAGACATTGGGAAAGTGTATCATTTAGACATTGGGAAGGGTGTATCATTTAGACATTGGGAAGGGTGTATCATTTAGACATTGGGAAGGGTGTGTCATTGGAGAGGAATTGGATGTACCTATAGAAATTAGGCTGAGTGTATCAATGGAGGTGGAGTTGAGTGTATCAATGGAGATGAGGTTTGGTGTATCAATGGAGATGGGGTTGAGTGTATCAATGGAGGTGGGGTTGAGTGTATCAATGGATGTGGGGTTGAGTGTATCAATGGAGGTGGGGTTTGGTGTATGAATGGGATGGGGTTGAGGTGTATCAATGGAGGTGGGGTTGAGTGTATCAATGGAGGTGAGGTTTGGTGTATCAATGGAGATGGAGTTGGAGTGTATCAATGGAGGTGGGGTTAGTGTATCAATGGATGTGGGGTTTGGTGTATCAATGGAGGTGGGGTTGAGTGTATCAATGGAGATGGGGTTTGGTGTATCAATGGAGATGGGGTTGGAGTGTATCAATGGAGGTGGGGTTGGAGTGTATCAATGGAGATGGGGTTTGGTGTATCAATGGAGTGGGGTTGAGTGTATCAATGGAGGTGGGGTTGAGTGTATCAATGGAGATGTGGTTTGGTGTATCAATGGATGTGGGGTTGAGTGTATCTGGAGGTGGGGTTGGTGTATCAATGGAGATGGGGTTGGAGTGTATCAATGGAGGTGGGGTTGAGGTGTATCAATGGAGGTGGGGTTGGTGTGTATCAATGGAGGTGAGGTTGAGTGTATCAATGGAGATGGGGTTGAGTGTATCAATGGATGTGGGGTTGAGTGTATCAATGGAGGTGGGGTTGGTGTATCAATGGAGATGGGGTTGGAGTGTATCAATGGAGGTGGGGTTGGAGTGTATCAATGGAGGTGGGGTTGAGTGTATCAATGGAGATGGGGTTTGGTGTATCAATGGATGTGGGGTTGAGTGTATCAATGGAGGTGGGGTTGAGTGTATCAATGGAGGTGTGGTTTGGGTGTATCAATGGATGGGGTTGGATGTATCAATGGAGGTGGGGTTTGGTGTATCAATGGAGATGGGGTTGAGTGTATCAATGGAGGTGGGGTTTGGTGTATCAATGGAGGTGAGGTTGAGTGTATCAATGGAGATGGGGTTTGGTGTATCAATGGAGGTGGGGTTGAGTGTATCAATGGAGGTGGGGTTGAGTGTATCAATGGAGATGGGGTTTGGTGTATCAATGGATGTGGGGTTGAGTGTATCAATGGAGGTGGGGTTTGGTGTATCAATGGAGATGGGGTTGAGTGTATCAATGGAGGTGTGGTTTGGTGTATCAATGGAGATGGGGTTGAGTGTATCAATGGAGGTGGGGTTTGGTGTATCAATGGAGATGGGGTTGGAGTGTATCAATGGAGCTGGGGTTTGGTGTATCAATGGAGGTGGGGTTGAGTGTATCAATGGAGGTGAGGTTGAGTGTATCAATGGAGATGGGGTTGAGTGTATCAATGGAGGTGGGGTTGAGTGTATCAATGGAGATGGGGTTGAGTGTATCAATGGAGGTGGGGTTGAGTGTATCAATGGAGATGGGGTTTGGTGTATCAATGGATGTGGGGTTGAGTGTATCAATGGAGGTGGGGTTTGGTGTATCAATGGAGATGGGGTTGAGTGTATCAATGGAGGTGTGGTTTGGTGTATCAATGGAGATGGGGTTGAGTGTATCAATGGAGGTGGGGTTTGGTGTATCAATGGAGATGGGGTTGAGTGTATCAATGGAGCTGGGGTTGGTGTATCAATGGAGTTGGGGTTGAGTGTATCAATGGAGGTGGGGTTGAGTGTGTCAATGGAGGTGGGGTTTGGTGTATCAATGGAGATGGGGTTGGGTGTATCAATGGAGATGGGGTTTGGTGTATCAATGGAGATGGGGTTGTATGTATCATTGGAGATGGGGTTGTATGTATCATTGGAGATGGGGTTGTGTGGTTGGACTCATTCCAATTTAGAAAAATGTCTTGTTTTCCATCTTATGTGGCTCTCATGTAATACTTTTCTGTACATATTTCTTTGTCTAGGTTAACTTTGTATCAAAAGCATTAAGACCTATAACATTTATCTCCTCTCATGATATCTTGGTGGAATTTACAAACAGGGCAGTGGTATGTGCTAACTGAAAAGGGGAACATAATAATAGATCACTGCATTAGTACGATTTTTATGCACGAGTTGAGAAGGATTGAAAACAAACGAGAGAGGGCGGCGAACGAGTTTGTTTTCAATCCATCTCAACAAGTGATAAAAAGATTACTTCATACCAACTATGAAGTAATCTTTTTATCATACGAGTATTGAAATTTAGATCATAGTGAAATTTTCGCCGAAGAGACACAATTTTAAACGCTTCAAAAACAATCACCTAATTTGCATAAAAAAATACAATAACACAAATAAATTGTTCATTGGGAATAATTAGTTTTTCCGCCGCTTCTGTCTTAACATTATGAAAGGCGATTCCTTTCTTACGAAGGAACTACGTAGGTTTGTTGTTTACGTTTCTTTTCTTTCAAAGGGAAGCGTAATAAATATAAACATGCTTCGATATTTATTAAGTTGCTTGATGGGAATATTGTTCATACATGGAAAGTCATGTTTCGACGATGAAAATTACTGAAGAAATCCCATGTCCTGCTGTTTGTATCGTTTTCCTTGCATTTATATTGAATTCCCTTACGGATAGTGTCTAGGCAAATTGCCAAACCATTGACAAATGAAATCAAAAAAGAATTTTTTTGTCTTCTTTAATTTTAATGCTGTTTACCGTTCGTGATAAAACTTGGTATGCATTTTGTCACTAGTGAAAAAAATGATATATCCAATCAGAATGCAGATACGACGTTTTTCGCTAGTGAAGAAAATGATATATCCAATGAGATGCTCGGAAATTTTAGGCATATGATTTTTATTTCACCGTTTTGTTGCGAATAAATTTTAATACTCGTATGATAATTTCCATTGTCTACATGATTTTATCAAACCCTCACCAACAGTTCACAATAATCATGTGATATCACGTGAAACATTTCATCAAAACCTCAACAAAAGTTCACAATAATCATGTGATATCACGTGAAACATCTCAGTTTTTCTCTTATAGCCCTTTCTTGTTTTCTTCATGAACTCCATCAATTATTTTGACCAAAATTATGATGAATTCTTTGGAGCAGCTCTACATTCTTTAAGCAAAGGTACGTTGTATCTGTGACTATAAAATAACTTTTTAAAAACACGGCCGTTGATTGGTCAAATGCTTGAAAAAACCGTGTTCATCTTACTCAATGATGAAAGAGATTTACAGTCTCGCAAGAATCATGCACGTCGTCACAACAGGGTAAGCGTTCCTCGGCAAATACAAGTCTTTAAATAAATTGTTATTTTTGATTCAATGGCTATGGTTAAAATGCTATGATTGAGTATGTTGGGATGTGTACTGTACATAACTGTGTCAAATAGCAATTATTTACGGCATGTGGGTAAAGTTTGTCGTATTTGCTGCAAGATTTTTTATATTTCAAAATTAGTAAGAGGCTTTAGCCCCTCTCCTCCCCCACCCCCACCCCCTCAGTGTCCGCTGCTGTCCATAGGTGCAAAAGCTGCTATTTTTCGGCTTCCCTAAAATGGCCGACTAACGGCGTGCAAAGCATGACCTTAACAATGGCTGTACACATTAAGTTGGCCAGCAGAGTTCAAGAAGAAGCGAGGTAGTAGATGGTAAACCAAATATGCAAAACATGACCCCGAGACCCATTCTTTTGCGCCTGCAAACGTTAGCACGGCCAGCAGGGTTCAGTGAGACGTGAGACGTGAGGTGATTTTTAAGAATGGACACTCCGATACTATTGAACAAAGTAACTTATTTTCTGTATCTTTGTGTGAAATTATGTACAACGTATGGAACGGTAACAAATCATTTATATGGAATCAACTATTTAATTTATTTAAAAATATTTAAAAACGATAACTTTTCAGGGCTCTTAGGCACCTGTTTTTCAAGAGTCCGTTTACTTATTATATTTGCAAGTTTCAATATACTAATAAATTCTTGCTGGCTTTATTATATGAATGCATGCACGTCCAAACTATTACATAGTTTGTCACGTGTTGTAGTTTTAACGGCTGAAGCATAGATATGTATGATAAACTAGATATCTCATTACAATACAACGCCCAATCAGAAGTTGAAGCCAATGTAGTCGTGTGCTTACATTGTTATCACCCGATTACTAGGTCCCATTCGAAGAGTGAAACCCAACTTTAATATACGACAGCTTTCAAAACGACGTATTTCTGTTATTTTTGGAACTTAAAACCATTTATAAACATAGCAAATTTTTTCGATTTATATTATGATTACTTTTTCGTATCAAAAGGGATCTTCCAATATGGCCGCTCTGGCTTCACAGAAATAGTGGAGTGCGTCTATTTTCAGATCAGTGGGTTGAAGTTGCACTTCCTTTCAATTCATTTTTTAGGATCTTATTTGGAGTTTGCTATAGTGACGTCACGATTTATTGCTGACGTGATTAACCTCAAGGCGTTCGGAGAAGTCATTTTGCTAAATCCTTTGAAAGCAGGAAAAGTTAGTAATGAGAATTTGAAATTTAGTTTTTCATTTTAAAGTGTTTATGGAACTACATTTTACTATTGTGTTTTTTGATTGCATGGTAAAGGTAATTTGATGGGAAAATGCTATTTTATTTCTTCTTGGAGTTGTATAACTTTTTTCAATATGCAAATGATATCGCATTATGCCATCACATTGCCATAATTGGCACTGGTAAAAACTAGTTGTTGTCAACAATTGGCATAAAAATATCTAACTTTTGCATCTTTGCAAATATTCATCTACACTTGCAAACATTAATTCATCTACGCACGCAAACGTTCAAACGATGTGAAAAATTTATTGTCTTTGAATGTCATTACTCTGGGACGTCATAACGATATGCATAACGAAAATAGGTTAAATATCTATTGAAAAAGTACAGTAAGTTCTTTCTACTGAAGAAGTTATGAAGTCATTTTATGTGTTCTTTACAATACAATCAAAAAAAATTTGTGGTAAAGTTTCGTGTCATAAACACTTTAAAAATGATTGAGTTGAAGTGATTTGTATAAAATCCGTAAACATTGCAACGATTTCCGCTTGTCGAACCGAAAAACAGAATGCTGGTTAATCATTTTGCATCTTTAGGTTTTTCCTTACGGACTTAACTACAATTGGACATCGTTGTTGCAGTGGGCTAATCAAAATATAGTTGCGGTAACTATTGTTATTATGTACTTTTTGTTGGAACAAATTGATCTTTATATTCATTTATACATTGCTGGAGTATTTGATATCTGCAACTAATAAAGGCATCAGACTGTCTAGGGAAGATTAACATTTCAACATCGTATAGCCCTTCCTAAAGACAATAGACTCAAACTTATACGGAGGGACTCAAGTTTTAACATCAGATCACTCCTAATGAGGACACTAGACTGAAGTATATAAGGACTCAAGTTTTAACATCAGATCACTCCTGATGAAGACACTAGACTGGAGTATGTAAGGACTCAAGTTTCAATATCAGATCACACTAATGAGGACACTAGACTGGAGTATGTAAGGGCTCAAGTTTCAACATCAGATCACTCCTAATGAGGACACAAGAATGGAGTATGTAAGGGCTCAAGTTTCAACATCAGATCACTCCTAATGAGGACACTAGAATGGAGTATGTAAGGACTCAAGTTTCAAAAGCAGATCACTTCTGATGAAGATATTTTTTCGTATTTTCGTCTAGGTCGTTAGTAAACTTGATCCAGACATTATGGAAGCTGATCAATTTGGCAAAATTTTAAAGCGTCATTCTTCGCTCATTTTATTTCTTCCTTTGAATGACGAAAATATGAACTCAACACTTCTCCACACGGTATTTATTTAACAGAACAGTTTTTACACTACCTAAAATATGTAAGAAATAAGATAACATGTGTCAGTGTAGGTAGTGATGAATGAATAACGGAGAACAAGAACAGTCTTTACACTAACTAAAACAAATTAGAAATAAGATAACGTGTATCAGTGTAAGTAGTGATGAATGAACAACAGAGAACAAGAACAGTCTTTACACTAACTAAAATATATCAGAATTAAGATAACTTTTGTCAGTGTAGGTAGTGATGAATGAACAACAGAGAACGAGAACAGTTTTTACATTAACAAAAATATATAGGAAGAAAGATAACAAATGCCAGTGTTGTTAGTGATGAATCAAAAGTAGCCTTTGTATTTTCGTAATAAAAATATATTATGTGTAATCAATCTTGTACAAAGATCACATTGTAGTTATTTTGTTTAGTATCGTCAAGTTGCCATGAGTTATCACAATTGTTCCTGTTCTCCTGAACCTAGCACGACGTCCTCCGAGAAAAAGCATTACCATTCTCTAATTTCAGTTGACAGTGGCTACCGTGACTTTTTCACTACGTGTCAGTCACTTCCGCTACGTCATCGACATGGAATACGAAATGCCTGCGTCTTGTGTAAAGAGTGCCACAGAGCGTGTTCTTTTCTCGATTCTTCGTTCCCTCTTTTTGCTTCGCGTGATATTTCGTTGCCACGCAATAGTTGTTGCAGTTTACGAAGAAATTCTTATCAACTAAAGAATTCTTTCAGTGTTTGTTGTTTCGATGATGAAATGCGTAGGGTCGGTAAACGGTTCAACGTTGAGATTATCACAACGGGTAGGTATGTAGTGAGACTTTGGTGTAGCCATCCCAATGGCGTAGCCAACCTAATGGTGTAACCAACCCAATGGCGTAGCCAACCCAATGGTGTAACCAACCCAATGGTGTAGCCAACCCAATGGCGTAGCCAACCCAATGGCGTAGCCAACCTAATGGTGTAACCAACCCAATGGCGTAGCCAACCCAGTGGTGTAACCAACCCAATGGTGTAGCCAACCCAATTGTGTAGCCAACCCAATGGTGTAGCCAACCCAATGGCGTAGCCAACCCAATGGTGTAGCCAACCCAATGGCGTAGCCAACCCGGTAACGCAGCCAGGATTTATTGTCAAGGGAGGAAAGTCAAAAAGGAGGGAGAGGGGCATAACTGTCGTTTAAACAATATAACATATGTAAAACATTACATTTTAGGGTCCAAGAATTTTACCATGCGTGCATTGACCGGCACTTTCTTTAAACTGAAATGCGACCTCCCCTCCCCTCCCATCTTTGCATATTAATGCTGGGGGCATTGCTGTTTCTTTGCCAAAGCATGCTTTGTTATTACTTGGCGTATCTTAATACCTAGTATTTCTTGTACAGACAAAGATGCATCTTTTGAAGAAAACAAAGAGGAGTATGCACAATCGCTAGAAGACAGGTCGGCCACCATGAAGGAGGAAAGAAAGTCTTCAACTAATTTCAGAAAGAGTTCCATAAACTTTATGTTTACACCAAAGATTTCTGATGTTGAAATATCACTTCCTGACATGAGCAACATCCAAAATCAAAGCATTCGCACTGTGTCATTGCCCAATTATGATAGCAGTTATTACCCCCCGGAATATGGTACATGTGAACATCCGGGTATAGTGAGGGAATTCGCTGGAGCATATTGCTATAGCAATAATTCGGTGACGTTCTATTACATGGACTCGCGAAAATTTTGGAAATTTGCTGTCGCACTTGGTGTAAAGCAAAATATAACGCCTCGAACTGCTTTAGTCCTGTTGGACTTTGCTGTAAGTAATTTCTTAGTTATATCTACAAATGTTGGATACACAGAAAGGCGTCCATAAGCAGAATCTTAGTCCTTCTGGCTACTTTGATCTGGCAGGGGATCTTGTTTATTGCTAGCGATCTTGAAGATGGCAGGGGGGTGTTGTTGATTATAATGGATCATGTAGGTAGCAGTGGAATTCTGTTGTTTACAATTGATCCGTTTGATAGCAAGGGGATCTTGCTGATTGCAAGTAATACTATAGTTATCAAGGGAGTCCTGTTGTTTGCAATCTTGCTCCTGTAGGTATCTGGGAATCGTTTTGATTGCAGGGAATTGATCAAGTTTCTGTTTATAATTCATGTAGAACGAAGCTCAATACGTTCACGAAGAAGGAACGCCTTTGAGCAATGCCTCAATTGGTAAGTTTATCTTCATCGACTCTCACTATTTGTTGTTGTTGTGTAAAAAACAAATTAAAAAAATACAAACTTTATCTTACTCTTTCGTGACTTTATCTTTCTCTCTCGTGACTTTATTTTTTCTCTTGTGACTTTATCTTTCTCTCACGTGATTTTATCTTTGTCTCACGTGACTTTATCTTTCTCTCTATTGACTTTATCTTTCCTGATTATCCTATCTGACATTATTCATGCCATGTGGCCTTTTTTATTGTATGTGAAGGTAAATATTTAATGTGAAGCTGTTGTTCCTTTTCATAGTAAATTTTCTGATGCTGTTCAAACTTGGTAATCTTACTCGAAGACTGCGTTCTGCTGTCGTTCCTAAACAATCCTGCTCTCAAAGCAGCTCTTGCATCTGGGAAGTTGTAACGACAACTTTCGATGATCTAGTTCTACACAATAACCAGGTTTTAAAACTATTGCCTTATTTTAATAGGTTTGACAAACATTAATATCGTGTAGTAGTGCTAATTTTGTGAAATGTTATTTTGAAAAATTATGATACTTTTTCATACACAGTATACAAGTGTAATTTGTTATTTCTATTTAAAATTCAGCACGGTTGATTTAAGCCTCGTTTACACGAGCCCGGGTTGATATTTATCCCAGGTCAGACTGCGATAGGTGGTTATGTTTACACGAACCCGAGCAGAACTTATTTTTCAACCCGGATCAGCAATCCTCAGTCCGGGATGGCTCAAAAATAAAGCCTATGACAAAACCCCGGTTTGCACACTAACCCGAGATGCCTGTCAATCCGGGCCCGTGTAAACGGGGCTTTCGACTTCTGAAAATTATTTTCAATGATGATTTATGTAATTTAAAATAATTGGAATGGATGCCAGATTTCACATCCATAGGTCAAGGCGCTTATGAAAAACATGACTTTGGAAGTTTAATTTATTGGACTGAACCAGAGAGTGCAACCTCCTTCCCCACCCTTCCAATATAAAATTTAAAAAATAATTTGGGTCATTTTTCAGTTCCATTAGCATAAAGAGGGGAAATGATTTATATTTTTTATTAGTGTAAAGAAGAGGAGGACGACTTTAAGTTTTCATCGGCGAAAGTAGGGGGAGGGACGACTATAAGTTTTCGTAACTTTATCTTAATAAATGTTTAAAAGTGGGAAAGTTTCTAAGTAGTAAAATTTTCATCGTTAGCTGGGAAAAGATGAGTGAGATTTCTCGTCTGATTGCTGAAATGATCTGTGCTCACCGTGGGGTAGCGCTCACAGTGTATGTACAGGGGCATTTCAGTATTAGTTGCAGAGACCATTGCTTCTCCCTTTGGTCCTTACCCCCTCTCCCCCATCCTCAACTATATAACTTCCCATGTAAGCACTTATTTATTATTTTGTTTAGAATGTGTTTCTAATGTTCTACACGCCATGGTGCGGATTTTGTAAATCAGTAAAGCCTGTTATGAAACAACTTGCTGATCATTATAAAAATTCTCCTGACATAAGAATCGCAAGGATAAATGGCGATTTAAATGATCTACCGTGGGAATACAACGTCGACTCATATCCATCGTTTATTTTCTTTCCCGCTCGGAGGTAAGAAGACTTCGTATATCCAGAAAATATACATAATTTTTTTGGCGAAATTCGTTGGAAATGTTCTTGTAACTCGTAGAGGTTTTTCGTAAACCAGTGGGGAATACAGCGTTTGCAGCCGATACGAACGTTGAAACACGATAAAGTTATTGTTTACAATATCACTTAATCACTGAGACCGAGAGAAAAAGTGTGTTTAGTTTACCCGAGACCGAAGTTGTCTCAACTCAACGGCTGTCGAGGGTTTCGCGAGAAAGTTTTTTGTTACGTACCAATTTTCAAAGAAGAAACGGACAACAACGTAAACAGACGAAGTATTTGCTTTCCCAAAAGATAATATAAATAAAATTGAACAAAAATTAGTTTGGAAAAATTCCAGCAACTTTTATCGAGATCAGATTCTGAACAAAGCCGGGCAGAGGTCGCATTTTTACTTGATGACGAACGAGAGTTTTTTTATTGTTAACCTCTTGATAACGTATTAACTCACTCTGGAGCTACATCCGAAAAAAACTCTTCAATTTCTTCACTCTCACTTGACACACTCTCGATTAATAAAAAATGAACTTGATAATCCCCAATCGTTATTAAGATTGTTTTTTCAATAAAGAATGAACTCTTTTTTTCACTATTCTCGCAAATGTGCTAACTGCGACAAAAGTTGAGGTTTCTGAGATTTTTTACCGGAGCCAAACTTTGCTCGGCAAAGTTGGGAAAATTACATGAAGTACTCCACCAATTTAGCGTAGGTAATAGTATAGTTCCTAGTGCAATTACGAATAAACATGCACGAGTGAGTATTTTAAAGACTGCAGCGAAATAGCGTGAGTCCGAAGGACGAGCACTATTTGCAGTCTTTCAAAAGTCACGAGCGCATGTTCAGCTGTGATTGCATGAGAAACTATAGTATAAATAGCTAATAACTTTCGTAACTCAATAGGTAGAGCGACGGACTAGTATCCCGAAGGTGCGAGTTCAAATCTCGTCCAAGTCGCATGTTTTTCATGTTGATATTTAAAACCGTGTTAGGATTAATATATTATATATTCTCTGAAGATGGCTTTGGAATAAAGTCGAAACACGGTGCCATCCATTAAACTGCTATAGTGGCGAGAATCTCTTGTCCATACGCAGTTTAAAAGAGATTTGACCTGTGGGCTTGGTAGCTCAGCAGGTAAAGCGGCGGACTACTTCAAATCTCGTCCAAGTCACATGTTTTTCATGTGCATATTAAAAACCGTGTTAGGAATAATTGCCTATAAATAAGATAGTTTGTTCTATTCAAAGGTTCTCGAACAATTTTAAAAGTTCATTTTTCCTACTGTCACGCGAGAGTAAAGAAATTAAGCGGTTTCCCTAGCGAGTAGCTCAAGAGTGAAATAATTAGTACTTTTTTTTCTATTTTATCTATATATTCTTTTGGGTAATTCGTTTATTGGAGTTGTTGTCAGTTTTCTGTTTGAAAATTGGTATAAAACAAAACACTTATTGTCTGCATTAACCTAAACAAAACACACTGTTTCCTTCGGTCTCAGTCAATAAGAGATAAATATCAAGTCCTGTTTTTTAAATTGATTCCACATCTCGATACGATTATTCAAGCCAAACCAATAACAGTTCATGAATGACCAGTTAAGTTATGGAGGAAATATTACATTGTTGAAACTAAACACGGGACTTCTGTGTTTTGTAGGAAAACAGAATCAGTGAAATTTCCTCAGATGGGAGATCGAACCTTCGAAAAATTTGTGAGGTTTGTGGAAGCACATAAAACAAATCCCGTGACTAAGGACAGCGATTGTTTTAATGCTCAAGTAAGCCTAAATTATTTGAAAAGAAATTTAAATTCTATTAAGATAGAAAATCTTAACTTGAGAAGACGCTTAAAACGTGAAATACTCACGAGAAAAATCGCGGAAAAGGGGGGATCGAATGTCGAACGTCTTTTAAACAAGAAAAACAAAATGCTATCGGATTCAGAGGCCAAACTAATGAACCTATAGGCCGAAAATAGAAAACTGTTGCAACAAGTTTTAGCTGCGAAACGTCATCTTCGTAAATATCGTAGAATGGCCGAGATGACCCTAGCAGAGTTAAAACAAAGGAACTGGGAACTACATTCAACCATACTTAGTTTAGAGGAAGCGAATTCCAAACTAGTCGACGATTCCGATAAATCCTCCAAACACGAGTAACCTTGCATATCTGTAGTATCCTATAAAGTACGCGAGCTTTTGTAATAGAGTAGTTACGTTTCTTAATTTATTGGAAATCGATGATTATAATCGCTGTCGGCGGGATAATCAGCAAAACCGACCATCGATTATTATTACATTGCCGAATCTTCACGTGACCTTCTTTTAACACGTGCACGATTTAGTCCTCATAACAATTCTTAACTTTCTGCCAACTAAAAACAACATAGTTTAACTGGTAAGGTCTTATTGGTTTACGGACTCGAGCGAGGGTCATGATGAATTATTTAAATTCTATAAATTTTGCAGTAAACAACTTGCTTTCCACATCGTAACAGCAAGTTTTGGTTATCGTTACTTTTACAAACCGAACACTCAACCCTCTTTCTATCACTATGCAAATATTGAAGTCGGTCTATTCCCAAACGCCTCTTAGAACTTCGTGAAGTTTTTATGCAATAAACATAAAAAGCCAGAAATTGTACAAATTTCCGAAAGCCAGCAACACCGTCATAAAGCGCAAATATTATATACACGGTGCTTCCACTTTTTATTATTGTTGTCTGAAACCGCTGACCATGCCAATAGAAAGACAATCGCCCGGCAAGCGATTGTATATAGAGAAGCCGATTACTCGGTTTTATCTATTATTGGCTCAATTCTACTCTAATTATTCAAATTTGTTCCAGTTATTATAGATAATAAAATAGTTTTATTACAATTACGTATAAACATGCAACAAAGACGGAGTACCCGGTGTACATAGAAAGATATTTAGTTCTTACAATGACCGAGTTGCTCGGTGTACATAGAAAATATGTATTCTAGTTATTTGGTAAAAGAATTTTTTAATTTTAAGTTATATAACACTAAATGGATTTTACAGTTTGAAGTTATACATCTGCAGTGAGTCATCGTCAATCTCAGTACCCAATGTTCACATAAACACAAACTTTATGACCATCACATTTTACATGTTTGTGAATTGACATTTCATCAAATGTCAGAACACACACAACCTTCTTGCCGTCTTTCTTTGGTTCTTCAACTTTAATTTTAAAGCATTCTAGGCCTCCTTAGTTAATCCATTGTCTCCATCCATAGAATTTGACCATGATCAAATGGATAGGTAAGACAATAAAATCATTTGTCTTTTCAGCCTTATCGTTTTTTCGTAACTTTTCCTAGTCAATAACATCTTCCAGTCATCTTTGCCACCTAATCTTCCATGCATGGTGTTAGCAAATAGAACATAACAAGCTCCGCTCCAAATCATGTGTACTGTTTATGTGATCGTTTCTTTTTTCTATTTACCCACTGAGTAAAATGTGCAGGGTCTTTTTGGCTTCAGGGAAACTATTTTGCTAATAAATTGGTAAATTTACGATTTCATACATTAACAAATAACAGAAGAGTTAGTATGCTGAGTTTTATAAAAAAAAATCCACGAAAACATCAGTATGTTTGGCGTTCAAGTCAGTCTTAAGAAATACGATCTTACGAATTTTATGGCTTTTCATGTTTATAATTGCTTTTCAATCTTTGATGAACAAACAAAGCAAGCAAATATCTCACCTGTGTGAAGCGAGATGCTCTTTTTTGTGGAAACTACGACATCCAACAATTAAGCAATTGAAGTATTGGCATCATAAGAGAAATGCCAAAAAAACATCGTGTTTGTTTTTAAAAAACTCTATATAATTGACTATAGACACCAGGGGAAGGACGAGAATATTTTTTTCAGTCATTTTTGCGAAATAGATGCATTGGCCGCGATTTTTTCGACAACCTCGCCTCAGTCTACTTAGCCCCTCAGTTATTATAGAACTTAATGGTACGAATGTTATTCATTCAGGTCAAAGCACTGATATGTATATTACACTGGATAACGCACCATTTATAAAATATAGTACGATAATTAAAGCCGGAAGTTGGCTCATTTGCTTATGACCTTCGGGGGTGGTCCCACTTTACAATACTTTTGTATTACAAAATCACAGTTTTTGCGTTTTTATTCGTTCTACAAACTTTTCATTCGAGAAAAACTTTTATGAAAGGAACAGAACGACCGGCAAAGATATTTAATCCTAAAAAGTTTGTCTTCTTGGCTTTATTATGCGAGGAAATTGTGATGTTACAAGGTCGACCTGCATTGTTTTGAAACAAACTGGAGATTATATGATGCTGCTGCTTCTTAAAAAATGTGGAAATATTACAGAATCTGATATTACCACCAAACTTTCATCTGCAATGACGTTTATGGAAGATTTTACAAATTTACTTATTTAACAACACTTTGTTATTCACATCGCTAATATCATAATAATTTCAAATTACGTCTTTATATATCAGTGAAGAAACGAAACAAATCAACATAGACAAATAATCAGAAAGACATTTCAATGAACAATATTAAGTTGAAAACGGTATCATCAAACTCTATGAGATGTATACCATCAAAATATGCGAAAGTACCTCTCTGTGTTGCATTACGCGAAGCAAAGTTTTAAACCAGTTCCTTTGTGAACAACTTCAATATCGATGAATATATTAAAGATATGAAACCTTTGTTCTTACATTGTTGTAATTTAAGTATCCATCTTCTAAAAATGCCTCGCACAACTGAAATTGTCCTCGTCACCTTCAACTTTCAAATTTCAATACAACTTGCCATCTTATTTTTCAGTCGTTACAAAGCCAAAAAAACATAGCTTCAGTGTTAAAATGTTCTACCGGTTTTCCTCTACATGTCATGAAAATTTTACCTTAATCAGAAGTTTGCAAAAGAAATAAAAACGAGAAAACTGTGATTTTGTAATACAAAAGTATAGTAAAGTGCGACCGATACCCCCACGAAGCCAATAGCAAATGATCGAACTTACGACTTCAATTTTCACAAGAGATGCGTTGTCCAGTCTAATATAAATATCAATGGGTCAAATTCAGACTTTGTAGTGTAAACACGTTACTTCCTGACCGGGTCATGACAATTTAGGTGCAGGTATAGTTCAGTACCCTAGTGTAAACCCCGCTAAAAACGTATATTCTTAGATTGTGGACACACTTCTTCGAAACACGAAGTAAAAAAAGCTTACAGCCAAACGACCCCATGTTACATAAACCATTCTTTCCAATATTTATTTGCTCATTTATGCCCGACTGAATTGTTGGCACCGTAAGATTATTGTTTATTGGTAATTCTTACACTTATTATAAAACAAAGACACGACATATGATTTTATTAGTGGCTATAAAGTGCTTAATATACAAACATTCCTTTGAATATCTGGAATTATTTTAGGACTTAACTGAGTGGCAGAACAAAGTCCGTAGCATAACAATAGCCCTCTAGTTTGGTGACTTTCGTCTTGTTGTTTCAAAATTCATGTCATTAATTTATCGCGTCGTGAGTGAACACTTAAATGTTTATGTAGCATGAAACAAAACTTGCAAGTAGGTTGATTAGGAACAGTCCTATGAGGAAAAGAGGTTTTAATCTTTTTAATTAATCTTTTTTAGATCCATTGATCATGAACTTTGTATTCAAGACAGCAGACACTTGTCTGTGGCATTGACTTCATGATTAAATTAATTTCGCTTTTTGCAGCTAATTTCCCTACTTGGCGAATATTGCTTCACATTGCCTTTCAAGAAGAAATTACGCTTTCAGAAAACATACTATGCCATCTGCTAGACCCAATTTTAAAAATTCCAGACTTTATTGCAGAAGTCTCGTTTCTTCGGCAATTAAGACAAAATCAGTGTGTTACCATCTTCAGTTGATCCGCATGAACAAACTGTAACAAGATATTTGCATAAAAGTGCAAACTTTGATTCATTATATAAACGTTGGAAAGAAAATGGATGCAAAAGAAATATCGTTAAAATTTCCCGCTGAAGGGATTGAACGTGTTAAACGCAACCGAAGTTTATTCCTTTCAGCCGAAAGCAGACTCAAAGCATCACAGTTTAAGCCAAGGAAATCAGATGTATTCATTGTTACTTTTCAAAAATGTGGCACAACGTGGATGCAACAAATTGTACATCAGCTGAAAACAGGAGGAGATATGAGTTTCGATGAAATTTCAGATGTTGTGCCATGGATTGAATTGGCTTATGATTTACAATGTGACCTTCATCGTGAACAGATTTTCCCCCGGTAAGAGAAAATATATTATTTATTAATTTATTTAAGTGTTTGTTTTGTCCCAAACATCTTGCACAATCGGAATTTGAAGATTTTATGTTCTAGGTACGGCAAAACAGAGTAAACCATGATAAAGTTCACTCATTTTTTATAGATAAATGAAATTTCAGCCTTTCATAACAAATATTAGCGCAGGTTTGAGAAATTAGCTAAATAGCCACAATCCGCAATCATACATTCGTCATTCATGCATCACATTCTTTTATTATTACTATGCAGTATACAACATATAAATTACGAAATCACTCATGATTTACTTTATTTGTTTCGGTTATGTTCTATTTTTTTGATTCATCTGACACATGTGAAGTTCATGTGTTCAGAAGAACAAAATACTTTTTTTGCGAAATTGTTTAGCGCTAAATTCATTCTAATTACTATTCTTGACGTCTATTCACTCGACCCAGTCCTTTTCCACGACCTATATATTAATGAATCTTGATTTAGCGTGTGTCTGCTAAGATTTTTTCAGGGCATGACGTCACAATTTAGAAGATTTTTAATGTGGGGGAGTGGATAATAAAAATGTTAAATTGCGCACGCAAGTTTTTTCTGTTGATAAACATTTGTAACGAACAGAAAGACAATTTGCGAAGAATACCTAATACTAGCAGTAGTATGTTTTTTAACGGCTGCTGATTTGCATCAAGGCGATTCACTCGGTTCGAAAAGCAATATGCTTTCATGTTGTTATCGGCTGTTTTAATGGCACGAATATTTCATTGACCGCATCACACATGGTGGCAAAAGTACATTTTATAATAATACCAATAATATGGCTTTATCGAAGGTTACTGATTTGCATCAAGGAGATTCACTCGGTTAGAAACGCGATGTGCTTTCATGTTATCATCGGAACTTTTAACGGCAGGAAGATTTTATTGACCGCATGGTGGACAAGAGTACATTTAATGTGTTATTACAAGTAGACAATAAGTAAAAGCTCTCAATAGTGACTTTACAGCTCCAGAGCCAAGAAATGTTTCATGTAGTATAACTGCTTCAGCATCTCAAATGATTTTCGTTTTAAAATATGTACGTTTGTGTAATGTGATGCCCAACAAAAGCACCGAACTGAGGCTGCTTTTCTCTATACGGGATTCGCTCATCACGACATCTTCATTTGCTTTAAAGGGGTAACTGTTCGGAGTAAAAGCTTATTAAGTTGATAGATTTTGTCTATTTGATTGTGTTTCTGACGTTGAACAATTTCATTGCCTTTTAGTACAAAGAAAATTCAACCTGCTACGATAGCAATCCGGTATAGTGTAAACGGGGCCTGAGAGTTGTAGTACAGCCTATTATGGAAGAGTATCTATCAATTGATAACCACAACATGACCTTGAAATAGACTGACACGCACATATCATAATTATACAGCTATAAATATTTCGGCTTCATAGCTACTGGACCACAACGTACACAAGAGTTTTAGACGAATTATAAAATTTACCAGGACAACGCAACTAATGAATTAACAGGGAAGTTTTGCTTTGACATGTTAAACTCTGTTGACTCTGTTCATTTACAGAAGGAAATTTTGTTCGATTTATCCATGAACGATGATTTTACTCTTTACAAAGCGCTTGAACAACAAGTGATGATATAGTATTTATCTAATAAAAACGGTTTTCGTTCAAAATTGCAACAAATTTTATGTTAAATTTTTCGAGGACGTCACTATAATGGTTGCAAGTAAAGCACCGGATCTTGTGCTGGTGAGCAACAAATTGAACAAAATACAGAAAACATCCTTTAAGCTCCAGTTAACATGATTTAATTGGTTATTGGCTGAGTTCTAACTTTCATGTCAACTGCAACATATACATGTAAAGATCAATAATTTAAATGCAGCAATTGCTTTGCCACCGCTTGTCTTTAGCATGCAAATTTTGTAAAATGAACTTTGGAATACTGCTCGTCAATTATTCCCAATTTAATATTAGCATATTATACATACATACAGTGTTACTTCTTGCATGTTCTTCTATAAATTGACTTAGTTATATGAGAATTTGAAAATAAAAGGTGATACAGTTACTTTGTCTATATTAAGTGACAACATATACAAGATATTGCAGTTTGTTGCTCATCATAACAATTGTAAAATTACTGTGGTTTTGTCTATTTGGTATTGTCTCGCTTATAACAGATGATAAATGATAGAAAACACCCAAAAGCAATTTGCAAATGGCACCTTTCGCCTATTCGGTGCGAGAGGCAGCAATTACCTTGCGATAGTAACGCCTAGTTGAGTAATAAGGCAGCGAGAGTAAAATGCAACGATGTTCGATAAATATTTACGTAATACAATTTGCATCAGTTGATGAACAAGCCCAGTTTTCGGCAAGTTTGCGTGAATGAACATTCATTTCGTATTTGTACTTTCATTGATTACATGAAAGTCGACAAAGTCATACAGTGGTACATGACTTTCTTATATTGTTCTAAAGCACTCCACAACAATGATTTTTTCAAGGACAGTATAGTACACTTAATTTCTTGTAAAATGCTCCTTACCGAGGCAGGTGTGTGCGCAACTTTCAACTTTACTGTCGTATGTTAAGACCAATACACCAACACGTAGTGTATGAGTTTGGAAGAAAGATTAATAAAAAGGATAGTTCGGTGCATGAGAAGATCAGACTATTAATTATAAATGCAAAATAGAAAAAGAAAACATGTCAATCATACGTTAGTGAAATATACATATAGAAAGCCAATACATCTTGTTTATTCCGTCCAAAGATTTGTGAGTATGTTTCGACAGTCATAAAAGAGTGTAGTTAGACCAGAAATTCAGAGCAGGCTGCTAAATAAACAGCCCAAGCCAAGTACTTGGCAAATACGGCAAGACGGCAAATTAAATACCAATATTGTTCACATTCTATATAAACTCGAGCTTACAAAATCTTCAAAATATTTTTCAACAGTGTCAGCATAAACGAAAAGCGTTATAATTAAAGAAAGTTTTTATTGATTTCGAAATATTCTATATCCCCTAAGGGCCTGTTTATATGGAGCCGAGTTACCGGGTTGAGCGAGTTAGGGGATGTTTACATAAATCCGTAATGAGTTTCGATCCGGAATGAACCCATTCCACTTTAAAAAAAATCCTACTGCATGTTTACATGAATCCGTAATGAGCTACAACTCGATCCGGATCGAGTTCATTCCTATTTTCATTCCGGATGGAAATTTAATTTTACCTCATGTTAACGCAAATTGAGTTTCATTCTGGAATACGATTGTGATTAATGACGAAGCGCGCATGCGCTATGCGTAGTGTCTTCTAGGAAATTGAAGCTCATAAGCAAATAAGGTAGCTGCCTAATGGGCTAAAATGAGTGCGAAGAAAAACAACAATTAATTTCATGGATAAGTGTTAAGCTGTATTAACGCAGGAGCAACAGAAAAAAAACGGTTACTATAATGTTTATGTTCTCCATCTTCAAAATTCAAAATTCCTGCAAAGTGTCAACCTTGTCTTTATTTCCCATGTGAACACGGATTGACATCACGTTTCAATCGGGATTGAAAGTCATTCCGGATTCATGTAAACACCTCCTTACTCGCTCAACCAGGTTTGACAAAGTGATCTGTTTATATGGCACCGGGTAACTCGGCTAGTACTTCCGTTCATTTGTCTTAAATGAAGTTTGGCTATGCTAACTTTAAGTAAAGGCGCGAGATTTTAAAAAGCCTCGCAGTTTCGCAGCAAAAATGGAATGGGTGGAAATAAAATTGAAAATTATGATATGTGTATGTTTGTGTATAATAATGCTGCAAGTACAAGGCTTAGTACGCATGCGTACCGACAGAGCAAATTTTCTCGCCTCGCCGAATTACCCGGCAAATGCGTTCATATAGAAAAATTCATCCCGCCTAGCCGGGTAACTCGCTTACACAAACCGAGTTTCCGGCAAGGCGAGTTATTCGGATGAGTCATATAAACGATTCACCGGGAAATGCATTCATTTTATATTCTTTATGTTCGTTACAAATGTTTATCAACAGAAAAAACATGCGTGCGCAACTTAACATTTTTATTATCCACTCCTCTACATTAAAAAAATCTTCTAAATAATGACGTCATGCCCTGAAAAAATCTTAACAGACACACGCCAAATCGAGTTTTAATGAATATATAGGTTGCAGAAAAGGATTGGGTCGAGTGAATTGACTGTCAAGAATAGTGAGCTGCCACGCTGATGTTCGGCAGCAATTATCAATGAACATATACATAATTAATGTCAAACTATGCGTTTAACTGTTTCAGAGGAAACTGAAAGAAATCGGGCCGCAAACATCACAATTGAAAATCAGCAACATGACTGTCATCCCTGTCGCCTGTCTATCTAGACTGCCCAGTCTTGGTTGATAAATTTTCTAAAAAAATTGCGTACTCAAGCAGTTTTTGCTCATAGTTGTTCGGATAATGGCTGTTTAATACTTTTGTTAATTTTCGTGGACTTTAACCCATTTTTCAGCTCAGAATTTGATAAAAAAGATCGTCGGTCTTGCAATTTGTATATAAGTCATATTACAAAATAGAGATGTGTACATCTTGTGACGTCACGTCCCATTTGTAAAAATTCGCATCCGGTGCCGATCTTCAGCGTAGTAATTAGATAGGTTATACTTCACAGAAAACGCTGAAATAATCACCAAAAAGTTTTTTTTGTTGTATATTTTGTGATGTGTATTTTGTACTCGGCAAAAAAAGAGGGGGTCAAATTTCGTCGGAGCTGCACATTAATATACAGCAAAATGGTACTTTCGTGGCAAGTGGCCACCTTTTATGGCAAGTGACGTAGGAAGATCGATAATCATGGAGCTGATATTCATATATTCATGATATACAGAGTTATTTTCTTTTGAAATCCATTGTTTACAGAGGATTATGACATCAATATATGAATATGAGCTCCCCCAATTATTAATCTTCCTAC